TTGAGTCCCTGGGGGTTTCTCCCTTGCTGTGTTTCTAGTGGTCCCTAACCCTGAACTCCACCTTCAAAGGTGGAGACCCTCAAGAGTTCTGTCCTTCAAAATCCCTGCCTTGCTTTTGTTCAGGGCTCTCTGTTCTGGATCTGAGTTGTTCCCATGCTGAATAAATGGTTTCATGAGCAGAGGCGTATCTCGTTGTATTACATACTGGTTCCCAGAAAATAACATCCCTGAGCTGATCCTGCAGTTGTGGACTACAACAAAGGGTGAAAGAATGTGGGCATCCAGTGAGGCACCAGGAGAACAGCAGGAGCAGCTCCGTGGACACTCTGTAAATCCCTGGCTGATGGCTTGAGAGCCGGCGAGACCCCCGCCTTAGAAAGGAGGACTCGAGAGACCTGGCAGGAGGGCCTCATTGAGAGTGCCTCGGGCATGGGGGAAAAAGAGCTTATGGAGGCGCAGGGGGCCGAGAGACCAGACACTGGGACAAACATCTAACATCACCCAATGAGATGTATTATGTGAAATGAATGGGCAGGACTAGAGGTCCTTTTTAATGCCTTTATTTGAAGAACCAGCTTGGGTGGGGGCCCGAGGGGTCACGCACACCGCCACTGCTCCCCAGTTTCCACATGGAGAGGAGGAAATTGACTTTGCCACCCGGCAGAGTCAGAGCTTCCATCCTCATGGCAGTCCACAGGAATGCTCGTTTTCCTTTCCTCAGAGTCCAGGATGTCATTCTGGTCGAGTTCCCTCATGTTTATGTCGGCTCTTGGAAGGAAGTGAGGGGACTCCTCTAGGTCTTCCTCATTTGGTAGTGCTGTTTTTATTTCCTCCTTTTAGAGCGGCTCGTTGTCTCTGGGTTTTTATTAGTCTCTGTGCGTCCCATGAGTCCCTGGTTCTCCCTGTTTACATATAAGCCCTTATGTCATCCTCCTCCTTGAGGATGGGGACACCATTTTGGGAAGCAGCGGCGGAGGTTTCCCAATGGGACCAGGACATAACAATGAAAGGTAAATACAACAAATAAATAACCAGAAAAGAATTAACAATCTGAATGTGAAACAGACAACTGGTCTGCAACAAGAACTGTTGAGGCTTTTATAGGTGTGCTTGGCTTACAGCCTCTTTAAAGAGCATGCTGAACCTAACAGTAGACTGCCAAAGAAAACAAGGTGATAAATATTCCTGCTTGTTGAGCAAGAACAAGGATCAAACAAAGGTCTGCAAGCATCTAGTAATTTGCTTTAAGATAAGGATAGTAACGTGTTTAGAGAAGAACGAAAAGCATTATAAAATAGAGCTATAAGTTTATATTCTATTTTTAGATGCTTGGCTTAAGCTATATAAGTAATGCAAGAGCAAAAAATAAAGGTCTCAGTTCCACATCATATTGGTGTGCTGTCTGATTCCTGCCTTAAGATTGGACTTAACAAAGAACACTGGTCAAGGTTTAGCACATGCATCTGTGAAAAACGAAGTTCACTCCTGTAAAATTTTAAAAAGGTTTAATAAAGACAATAAGAGACATAAAATAAAGCAAAGAGTTACAGCTGGGTGCCTTGGCACGCTTCCAAGAACACACCTGGTATCTTGGGAACACCCTTTTTATCCCATCCTGCTGTGAGGGTTTAATGCATATTCAAACTTTTTCAAGAAGTATTTAACATGTCCCCTCCCTGGTTCCGCCTTTTTAGAACATGCTCTGTATGGTTTTTATCTTTGCTGATCATCATTATTTTTGAGTTTGGTTTCCTTTCTTCTGCAAATGGTCAGTGTTGATAACCACCCAGGCCCCTCATCCTTCTGTTGAGGGCAGCTGGGCTTCATATCCTTCCACTGCCAACAGCCTGGTCCTGGCTGCTGATAACAGCTTGGTCTCCTTTTCCTGCTGCTGATAACAGCCTGGTTTCCACTGTCCTTCCACTGAAAACAGCTTGGTCCTCCCATTGTCTTGCCTGTTGGAGTTATCTTGCCTTGTCCTGATGAAACCTATCCCTACCGTTCAGAATTCCTATCTAAGCCTGTAACTTGCTGAGAGAAGAATATAGCAAAAAGTATATAGCATGTAACATTTATCATAATACTTGCAAAAAGCCAATATTTACAATATGAATTCACAGCACATCTGAGTTCTCTAGCTTATTTCTCACATTATGGGCAGTTTTATTTTTTTTTATACATGGGAAGGACCTCTATGGACGATATTAACATTATGGACGATTATGGACGGTATGGCTCTTTCTGTGGACTGTTTTTGGCTTCTGTGAAGTCCCTCATTTTTTTTTTGGTGTATACCTCCTTGTATCTTCGCCTTTCCTCTGTTCCTAAGGGCAGGACAAAGGGTGAAAAAAGCCAAGATGGCTCGGGGCTGCTGCCGACTCCCCGTCACCCCGGTGTCTTTCTGCCATCCCATCCCCTGTTTTCCTGAAGGCAGGCAAGGAGCAGAGAACATCCAGAGTGCTGCGGGTCTGCTGCCGTCTGCCCGCTGTTCCGTGTCCTCCTTCACCCCCTGTCTTTCCATATTCCCGTTCCCTGTCCAGGAAAGTCCGTCCTGGACCCTGCCCCCATCCCAAGATGGCACTGACCACACGGTCTGGGATCCCTTGTTTCCCGCCTTGCTCCTTCTTTTCCGGCCCCCAACCTTCCCTTCCCCCAGTAACTCCTGCTTCGCTCCCACCCCTTTGTTCGGCTGCTCCACCCCTGGGGGCTGTGCCTTTGCCATCGTGGGCAACACCCCCTCCGGGGAAATCGAAACTGGAACCGAGCTCTGAAAGCCAGCGTTTCATCAAGAACATCTAAAGTGGCAACGCCCACATCTTCAGGACCAAAGCCAAAGCTGAAGACTAAGAACTCTGCCCCTCTTAACAGGAGATCTAAGAACTGCACCCTTCCTAAAAGAAAATCCAGAACTGGAAGAGACTGAACTAAAAAACCGTTTTGTTTGTATTAAGTGCCATCACTGTTTCATTTGCCCGGCTGTTGTCCGAGATTTAAGTGTTTGTTTTTAATTTTTTTTTTGTTTGCTTAATGTGTTTTGTTGTTGGGTTTTTAGTGTCCCACAAAGCAAAGTGGGTGCTTTGTGAAGGAGGTGAGATTTTATGGTGTAAGTTTTGGAAACATTTTAAGCTCCTAATTAAAATTTGAACAGAAAAAAAAAAAATAAAAAAAGAAGCAGATATTGAGAGGTGCCTCAGGGAGGCAAGGAGTTAGTTTCAGATAAGCACTGTTAACGTGAGAGGCATGGCTGTAAGCCATGTGTGTGAATTTTGACTTCCTGTGTTTGAGGATGGGCATGTGAGCCCTGGATGTTGTCCCACCCCAAACCCCTTGTGAAGGATGGCCCAGGAGTTCTGATTGGGTTTGAGTCCCTGGGGGTTTCTCCCTTGCTGTGTTTCTAGTGGTCCCTAACCCTGAACTCCACCTTCAAAGGTGGAGACCCTCAAGAGTTCTGTCCTTCAAAATCCCTGCCTTGCTTTTGTTCAGGGCTCTCTGTTCTGGATCTGAGTTGTTCCCATGCTGAATAAATGGTTTCATGAGCAGAGGCGTATCTCGTTGTATTACATACTGGTTCCCAGAAAATAACATCCCTGAGCTGATCCTGCAGTTGTGGACTACAACACTGGGTGTGCAGACAGATTGGGGAATAAAAGGCTGGAGAGCAGCACCACAGCAGTGGTGAGACCTGGGAGTTTGGGCTGAGGGCAAGTGGAACAGGAGCCAGCAGTGCCTTGGCAGCCCCAAGGGCCAACCCTGTCCTGGGGGACATCAGGCCCAGCATTGCCAGCTGAGCAAGGGGGTGACTGTCTTCCTCTGCGCTGCACTGGGGTGGCCTCACCTCAAGTCCTGGGGGCTGTTTGGTGTGCCTCCAGGTGTGGATATAAAGCTATTAAAGAGCACATACAGAGGCCTACAAAGACAGGCAATGGCATAGAGGGGCCATATGAAGTTCCTTGGTTTGTTCAGCCTGGAGGAGACTGAGGTCAGCCCTCATCAGGTCTGCAGCTTCCTCCCAAGGGACAGCTCTGATCTCTGCTCCCTGTGACAGGACCTGAAGGAACCGAGCTGTGCCAGGGAAGGGGGATCTCAGGGAAAGGTTCTCCCCCCAGAGGTGCTGGCACTGCCCAGGCTCCCCAGGGAATGGGCACGGCTCCGAGGCTGCCAGAGCTCCAGGAGCACTTGGTGAATGCTCCCAGGCCCAGGGTGAGGAACACGATGATGTTCAAGGTGCTCTCCAAACCAAGCCATTCCATGATGCTATGATTGCTGGGGTGTCTTGTGCAGGGCAAGGAGTTGGACTTCGATGATCCTTGTGGGTCCCTTCCAACTTAGACTATTCCATAATTCTGTGATTCTACAAACTACAGATTAGTCTTTTAAAATAAAAGCTCTGGCAACAAAGTCATTACAACACGATTTGGCCACTTTTTTCCTTGTAGAGCAGATAAACAGCAGTTATTTGAAAAGCTGAGTTCATGCCAGCTTTATGCTTACCTCAAGTGACAAAACCAGCATGACACCAGCTGGTACAGATCTGAACCTGTCCAAGGCTGGTTCTAAAACATATTTGGGAGGGACACAGGCAGGAATAGCACCTGGAGTTCATGCCTGCACTGCTCAGAGATTAAACAGGAGCCCACAGCTCAGCTGTTGGAATCACACCTGCCTCTGTGGGAACATCACCTGTCACTGCAGGGTTCTCTCCCTTTTGGTGCTTTTTGGTGACTCCATGCAATTTATTACTCACCTTCTCCCAGAATCCACACCTGACTGAAACACAAACTGTAAAGAAACCTCTGGAGGAAACTTCACACAAAACACATGAAATATCATGAAGTCAAACAGAAAAAAACATCCCAATGAAATCTGAGCATAAAAATTATGAAGGTCTTTGGTATTACAGGAAATGCAGATAGAAGGCATTGTTTAATTAATTAGCACAGCAAAACAACAGGAAATACAGCAACACAGGTTAAAATACTTTTTAGTAGTTTATTATAAAATACAGATTTACATGTGAAGGCACTTTGAAACTGTTACAAAACTTCCATGTAAGCTATTGTTTTAGCTGTTCAACAAGCCTAAAATAGTTTTTAGATCACCTAAAAAAGGTGAAGAATTTTGAACTGGATCCAGTTGTAGTACATTCATTTTCCTAATATGAAAATGAAGAGAACTATGAAGAATGAAGAGACACTAATGAAGAGGAACTACACCTAACAACAGTTAATAAGGATTCTGGCTCCATGAGTTGTCTGCTGTCAGAGAAGGCACTGACAGTGTGGGGAGCAGAGACGCCAGGAGATTTGCACATGACATTGAATTAAAACCATGTCACCTAAATTCTCATCATACCATACTGTGGAAAGACTGATGCTGTCATGCCTAACCATACATTTCCTATCCAGAAAGGTTGCAATCCTCCACTTTTTATCTCAAAATCTGAAGACAAACATTAAAACTTGAATAAAATTAAAGGAAATCAAATATCTACATGACTCCTCCTCCACTGTATGGCCATTTCTTCATACTGCAGCTCTCCATGGGCAAGCACCCTTTTTTTTAAAGTAAAAAAAATTAAAAAAAAACCCAACAAATATTCAAGTAACTAACAACTCAAAACCAAGTTTGTAAACTTTCTACTCCTTGCTGAGTAGCATCCCTGCACACCTGCACATTGTAATCAATTTGTCCTTCATCACTGCTGGCTAGATTCATTAGCTGAGGCTGTTCAAAATCATGGCAGTGTTCTCCCCTAGAGCTGTGGATCTCACAGCACATACTAACCCACCCATCCAATGAAGGGAACAGAGACCCTCAAATAAGTCCTACGTAATCGTTCTTTTTTTTTTCAGTTCAGTTACACAGAAACTGAAAATTACAGTGCTGAGAAGTTTCTCTATGGCTCTAACCTTAAATACAATTATAAAATAAAATCAAACTATTGATTTACAGTAAAGAGTAAACACTGACTTTTCTCCATTTTGGTAAAACAGACCCTACCAAATCCTCAGCATTAAAAATTCAGTCACAAGAACTGGATGCTGGAATTTATACTTTTCCAGTGAATCCAAGCCTTTAACAGCTATAAACCCTCACACATAAACACCTCCTTATGTGATGGGCTTACATTCAGTGTAGATACTACACAAGAGGCTAAAAGTCTTCAGGAAAAAAATAAAAGAGATACAATTTGTTAAATGAATTTGTGCATTTGAACAGCTTTGAGATGGCCAAGCCCCAGCTGCTGATTTCAGCTTTAACTGTGTTTCTTCATGGGTGAGCTGCCATCCGTATGAACAGCACCTAGGGCAGGCTGCTCTGTGGCTTCCAACGTGGAGCACCACTGGCTCAAGAGAAAGGGAATTGAGGCTCACAGAACTGTACCTCAGTGCTTTACCAGAGTCCAACCTAAGTCACCACTATTTGTATTAGATTATTGCCTTTGTTACTGCAAAAGCTGTCAGATACATGTCACGACCTACACTTTAACAGAAGTTCTGACAGTTCAAAGCTGCTCAGTTCTTCTTGAGGCTAAACAATTATTTTCTCCTCCCTCCAGTTATTCCAAAGTAAAATAATGTGTAAAATTCCATATTCTTTTCAAATAAGGCACTTTGCAAGTTTCTTCTCAAAATACTAAAAGCTTGAGGAAACTTCACTGATTTAACTCATTTCTTTATCACTCTTATTCCAGCAATAAAACTGGTCTTACAAGCTGAGTTACACTCAGAACTCATGATGCTCTAAATGAGGCAACATCCAATATGGCTTTCACAGAACACTCTTTTGCTAAAACAGCACAGAGTAAGTCATAGCACAGTGTGGTCTTTGGGAATGAAGACCACTGGTATTTCCTACATAACTCTTACTTTTTGCATCCTGTGGAAGTCAGGTGAAAGTTCAGTGTTGAAGGAACTTGGCATAACTTAAGAGATCCCACAGAAAACAGAAGTTTTTTAGTGATTTGCTCTTTCACTGACAACATCCTGCAGACGTTTTAGCAGAACATCATCATTTTCCTGGCAGAGTCTCTTCATGGGAGATTCAGTGTCACTGTCAATTGTTATTGCTCGCTTCTTACTCCTCTGTTCACCCTGTTTTATCATATTATTGATGTCCTTCAAACTCTGTGATCAAGACAAAAATAATGAGTTACTCTGTCTCCATTTCAAACTTGCTCTATGTCTGAAATATCAGAGAACAGGTTATCCTCCACCTCTCAGTGATGGACTCTACACACAGAATTCTACCTTTCAGTGCAAAGTGAGAGATTCCTCATTACAACACATCAGAACTGCACTAGACCACATCCCAAGACTAATTAACCCTTCCTCAAACTGATCACTTTCAGCCTTGTTTTTCTCTCTACCTTGGAAGGACTGCCATTGAACTTGTAGAGCAGAGCAGTTCGAGGTGTGAGGCAGGTGCCGTTCTTGTGAGGCGACACGTACACGGAGTGCTGCTGGGAGATGCGCCGCGGAGACACCGGCTGCTGCCGGATGCTGGGGAACGGCGACAGTGGAGGCGCTTCCATCTGCAAGAGAGGACACGTGTGCACAGCAGCTCAACTGGAACATCCTGAGAACAGGAACTTCACAGAAGAGAAGATTAATATGCCTCCAGGTGTTCAGAATATTTTATCTTGTGACAGTGGAACAACAGATCAAGTAACAATCAAGTAACAGAATTAATCTGCCAGATGCCTTACACAGACAGTCCACAGGCATTTGAGCACGTAGGTATAGCCTCGATGCAAAGAAGCTGGAACTGGGTACACAAACTGAGCACCATCTGCATTTGTCCTCTTGAAATGCTGTTAAAGCAAGTGCTCATACCATTACCTCCAACTATCAGACTTGACCCACACCAGGTGACAAGACAAAGGTATTGACATATGTTTAACTGCCAGGAAAAATGACTTTGTGAGTATTAATTCCAAAATAATTTACTTACCACATGATCCTGGTTTGTGACATCATACTTCAGTGCAAATGACTTTACTCTTCCTACGTAGACTGCATTGTAAAATTTAATAAGATCTCCTCTCTCCTCTGTTTCTGACTCACTCGAGTTCTCCGCTGCGGATTGTCCCGAGGAGCCGCCAGCTTTCACAGATGAGTCTAACAATAAGAGAGCTTCAGATTTCAAAACTACAGCATTGGCAAACCAGGAACTTCAGAGTTGAACTTACGATGTCCAGCTGGCATGAACTTGCCCATAAATTGACCAGTCAATGAGAGGAATTCAAGAAAAGTGCTTGAGCCAGGAGCAGGGTGTGCTGCAGGTGCTTAAGAACATCAGGAGGAGCTACCAATTACTGTGAACAGGCTTGTGAGTTATGACTAAAAAGGCCAGTATCAACCTTTATTCCCAACTTGGAAATAGCTATAGCAAGAAACTGTAGCACAACTGACCCCCTCTTCCATGCTTATTTTGGGGAGTGGTACAAAGCCACTACTTGCTCTTGAAACCAAGTTTTAAGCAGTCTGATAGCTCCCAGCTTTTGTCTTCTCTGAGTCTTGTGATCAGTTAGTGAAGAAAAACTTGGTGCTCAACTCAGATCTGCACCAAAGAAGTCATGACACCATTTGTTCAGGCATGTTCTGTAAAGTGGGAAAAGCTGCAGCCATACAGCAAGTGGATTTCTGTTAATGTTTGCTCTCCCTTAACTAAGCTGAAGTGCTACTGAATACAACTTTCTATGTCTCCATAGAAGGACAAATGCCCATCTGCCTTCCTTCTCTCACAACACAAGCACAGCTCCTGTGAACTGGTGTCAAAAGCACAAGAGTTAATACTATGTAAAGGAGGCACGAGTCCATAAACTGAAGGAAGTCTGGTAGGAAAAGCCACCGAAGAATTTTGTAACCAAGTTTATCACTTCAGATACTCCAAGTCATCCAGTAACTGTGAAGGTGTCTGACAGGATTTAAATGAGATCAGCACTTTCCATGACCCTGGTAGAATCCTCAACAGGCCTTTAAAAATGGCTCTAATACTCATTAAGGCAAATGAATCCCACTCGGAGGGAATTTGCCACAAAGAACTAAATTCCATGTATGTCCTGGCTACATATCTGTTCATGGGTTCAGATATGATCTGCTCTGCTCATGGGTTCACACACACGCTTGTGATTTCTCACTTTCCCGACATGTCACTCAGAAGAGGCATGGCACAGCTCTCAAGCTTTTCTCAAATACCACCCTTATCCCTTTTCTTCTCTAACCTAGAGCAAAGAAAGCATTATCTATTTAAAAGAAACCTGAATATAAGAAAATTGTGGTCCTGGAGAGTTAGCATTTTTATTTTCAGAAACAAGTTTTCCCTACTTCAGTGTTCAGAATAGGTGATATTAAAAAATCCCCACGATAATATTCCAGGTACTGTTTATCCTCATTCTTTGTTATCAGTGTTGCTGTCCAAGAAGAAACTACAGTATCATTGACAGACTAAGAAAGTACTTCCACCCTGAGCAACCAAATTTAAGTAAATGAAATGAAACATTCTTTCCAACTAGGAAGTGTATTTTCCATGTCTAATACACAGGAGAGCTACTTACAAGATGGTTTCTTTTTCAACAATACAATTCTTTTTCTTTAATATATGTAAAACCATAAAACTTGCTCCATTTCTTATTACTTGACAGTCCAGTTCTTTAAAAGCCCCAAATATGTTATTGAAGAGAGCAGATTCCTTTTCTGTACTCACCTTCTGTCATCTCCATATCTGGGTTTGCATTTTTGTCCAATGGGACATCATCAGAAGTATTTCTCAACAAGACACTCCTATAAACCTACAAGAGACCAGGGAAAAAGACTCTTCTCAAGGAAAGCAAGGAAGTCAGGAGATGAAATCCAACTGAACAGGGACAAGTTCCTGTCCTCTTACACTGCAGAGGATTTGACTTCTTTTATGAGCACAAAGACTTCAAAAGCCACCTCTGAGTTTTAAAGAAAGTAAAGGAAATGCTATTGACTTACATGGCTGTTTGCTTGTGGCTGATTTCTATAACTTTTCATTATGTCCTGAAAAGTTCTTTCCTCTTTGGTTACCTGGAAAAGAAAAGACTGTTGAAGAACAAGTGCAAGCACGAAGGCTGGGCTGCTCAGGTCCAGTATGTAGCTTTTTGAGGAGGATTACTATGAATACATAATTTTAAAATTTATCTCTGGTGATGAGAGCATGAAAACAATAAAGGTTTTTCTTGTTCAGGAATTCCTTGTTTCTTAGTTACTAAAGCTTTTTGTTGCTTATAATGCTTAGGCATTACTCCTTTCCAGACTTTTTTTCCAGTGACGCTTAAAATTAAGGAAAGGAAATATTATAAAGTCAAAAATGTGTTTTGTGAATTTGGAAACTGGATCCCTTAACTTTTTCTAAACAGAAAGTGGGGAAATCCTGAACAAGACATTAGGCAGGTATGTACACACATGCAATTTCACCTTGATTTTTTGTTTCAAAAAAGCTCATTTGTTGCTTTGTTTTTCAGCCATACATTTGTAATTTTAAGAGCAGACAAGCAACAGTTTTTGTAATAGGATCCAGGAGACAATGTATCAATGTCTCTGGCTAAACTGTCAGGTTTCACACTGCACTGGAGACAGCATTCAAAAGCCTGTATTATAAATAACCCCAAAGCACCTGACAAATTACATGATAAAATTGTAATTGAGCATTGACTATTACATGGCTTTGCTATCAGGATTGACATCAGGTGAGCCTAACCCATGCTGCAGTTAAGAGCACGGGTAGTTACAATTTAAATATCAGTTTCCCTCCACACATAGTGCTCCCCTTCATTTGTCCTCAAAAAAGGGTAATCCAGCCTCCTGCATTTTGTGTCTGAATTAGGGTTAATGGACACTGTAACCACCAGCTCAAGTCTGAGTCAAACCAATAGTCCAGTTTCATAATACAATTTAACACCACCTAAAATTAAAGCTGACAAATGGAATAAGAAATGAAGTACAACAGGCAACCACCTCAATTCCTCAGCCTGAATCATCAAAAGTTAAGAGGATTTTTGGGAATAGAAACCATCTTACATAAATTTACTCCTGCAAATTTCTGCACCTGCCTGATTTTGTAATTTTAATGGAATTTTTTACTGTCAAGGTGACAAATGGGACAGCAACAAATACAGAGCAGTAAGACCACACAGTGCTTTGTCTGTGTCAACCAGTGCTCACTGTGAATGCACTTGAGAAGAGAAACTGTCAAGAATTTCCATCAACAAGCTAGTGAGCTAAGATATGCAAAACAAAGAAAAACCCATACTAGGACTTCATCCACTTCTTGGAAGGATCTTCCCCTTCCCTCCAATAATAGGACATGAATGAATCAAACCGTAAATGCTGAACCTGATGTTTTCAACTGAACATAAAAAAGTCCACTAATTTATTAAAACTACATGTTACCTTGGCCATAATGTAAAAAGCACAGAGAAGGAGCTGGTCCAAATGTCTGTCTTTCATAAGATCAGCACAATGAACCAACGTGAATTCAAAACATGTCCAGATCTTCCTGCGCAAGTCATTGGAAACGTCCAGTTTTAAGCACAGATCACGCAAGCGCACACTTGCCAGATGATACACCTGGAAGGAGAAGACACACAGTAAAGAGTGAAGCCAAACAAGCTTATCCTGGCCTGCAGAAATAAAAGACCTCAAAGCAGAGCTATTCTGTAAGGGCCACAAAGATGATTAGAGGGAAGACCTCTCCCATGAGAGCAGTCTGGGAGGGTGGAGCAGCCTGGAGAAGAAAAAGCTCTGGAGAGGCCTCAGAGCCTCTTCCACTGCCTAAGGGGCTCTAGGAGAGCTGGAGAGGGACTTGGAACAAGGGCCTGGAGTGCCAATGGCTTCCCACTGGCAGAGGGCAGTGTTAGATGGGATACTGAGAGGGAACTCTTCCCTGTGAGAGTGGTGAGGCCCTGGAACAGGTTGCACAGAGAAGCTGTGGCTGCCCCATCCCTGAAGTGTTCAAGACCAGACTGGATCTAGTGGAAAGTGTCCCTGCCCATGGCAGGGGGAGGAATTATTTCATCTTTTAGGTCCTTTCCAACCAAAACCATTCTGGAATTCTGGGATTCAAAGACTAAGCAGTCCACTCTACAGCTGTTGAATCTCTAATACTTACAGAAAATCCACCTAAAAACATTATGCCTATAGTTTCTATACTGTATCCCTCCCTAACTATGTGTATTTCTTTCAAAGAAGGAAGGGGTAGTGTCATTTTCACTTGCTCTACTGAACAGGAGCAAGAAATGAAAGTAGGGCAAAACTATTATTTTGAGTATGATGATCACTGTAAATGAAAGGTCAGAATTTAATGACAAATATAAGTCAAGGCTTTAGTTCTTCTTCACAACTAAGAGGAATTATATTGTCTATGAGGTTAGTCAAAGACATGACTACTTCTGAAGTACTTCCCAGCTGAGAGTAAAGCTTCCAAAATGCAGCATTCCCAACTGGCAGGTGGCTGATCAATTCTTAATCCTTTGCCAGAGAAACTGCCCATCACTGGCAAAATTTAACAACCAACAGTTCAGACAAAGGATATGGCTTACAAGTGTTTCAAGAATTCTTTTTTTGTATTAACATGTACCTCAAAGATTGTTCATGGTAGAACTTAAGTTCTATTGTATCTAGACAGATACCCTCAAAGGGGAAAACCTCTGAAAATAACTTACCTAGGAAAAAAGCAACAGCAAAAAAAAAATCTAATATTTTTGAGAGAGACTTATTTAGGGATATATTCTTTGTAGTCACCTAGACCAAATTACCCCCCCTTCCTACCAAGACCCCTCACAAAATTTACACTGAAAATGAAATCAACTAGAAGTAAGTCACCTGAAGTTTCCCTGAAGTTCATGAAGTTCTTAATTTTATCTTTAAATCCTGCATTATTTCAAACTTATTCTTTCTAGAAACTTTTAGCTACTGTGTTATTCATCATTGCTTTCTGAGCCCCCAGCCCCGCAAGACCAGCACTACTGGGCAGACTTAAAAGTGGCAAAGGAGCATCTCCAGATGCTGGATCCACAGCAGTGCACCTTTGAACGAGTGGGACACAGGAAAACCATCTCATGTCAGATCTGTCTAACCCTTGCAAATGTGGAGGCAATCAAAAGAGCCAAGAGAAGTAAAATCTGAAGTAAACTATGCTTTTGATATTTATTTATAGAAGCTCCTAATTAAAAAGAAAAAAAAAATCTCATGAAAACTGGACTCTCTGCAATACTCAATATCTTTTCCCTTCTTCTTCGAGGTATACAAGAACTGCATATGCCAAGGGAAAGGCACATGAAGGTAATGGGAGCTGCAGAGGGAGGCAGGCTCCAGCATGGCTATGAGCACAAGTACAGCATCACTCCTGAGTAAGAACACTCACCTTCCTGTAGAACAGTGCCAAGGAGCCTGTTCTCTTGGGTTTGCTGGCTGCTGGCAGCTGCACTTCTTGTGCTTGGTTCCCAGGAGGGTGGCAGGCAGCCTGCACATCCACTTTACATGGCTGGCCTAAATTAATTGAAATGGGGATCAAGGTGATTCCACCCATGTCATTTGCAATACCTGTAGAGGATACACATTTCCAGAAATAAACCGGTTGCTCTCCTTCTGATGCAGCCAAACAGCAAATCAAACTAATTTATGAACATTTGATACTAAAGACATCCTCTGTACTACAGTCTAAAAAAACTCTGTCCCTCAGAGTCTTCAGAAATGGTAAAAATTACATTTCTGATAAGGTTTAAAAAACCAATCTGAATGTGAATGATCTTTTCTAAAGCTAGTCTGAAAGTACAAAGTTCACAAGCAATAACAATTTTTGTACTTGGTTTTTCACTCTTTTAGGGGAAGGTGGGCATTTTTTTTTTATTCTTATTCTGCAAAACTGGCAGCATATCCTATACAGTCCTCATTAATTTCCTCAGTAATCAAATCCTCTTGGCTGAAAACCTCCTTAAACATAGTAGCGCAGAATTTTTCCTTTCATCTTGTTATAGATGGGTAATGCGATGGTTGGCTCTTGCAATTAAGGGATGAATATTATGTGTATGCTAAGAGAAGTTATATTGATGTATAGTTATGTTACTGTGATTTGTTGTTTAGACATCCTGTTTTCTCCATGCTCCTCTTTCCCCCTGTATGGTTGCCAAGGGACAGTGGGGACATGTGGAGGGAGGGCTGTACCTGTGCCCCTGGTACATCTGGGAGGGCAGGCCTGTTACTCAGAGGCTTGGCATGAAAACACCTCACCTGCAAACAAGCTGCAAGAAAGCAGTCTCTACCACTGGACAGCGAAGAAGAGTTGATTAGCAGACTTTGGGAGGGGACAGGGTTACCTGATGCCATGCCAGGGGTATAAAAGTTGGGGCAACCACTTTGTGGGTGAGCACATGGCTGCTGGTCACAGAGACTCCCAGCACTGCTCCTTCTGCTTATTCAGTCTTTTGTTGTATTTTATTAAGGTTTTTAATAAACCTTAGAAATTTTTTAAAAGTGGGTATTGTTTTTCACAATCTTTAGCTATAGACCCAATTTTTAAATTAAGAAATGGCTATAAACTCATGGCTCATGTATCATTTTCAGAAATATTCAGGTATCACCCAACTTCCACAAAACAGAAGTCTCACAGTGTTTTGCTAATGTTAACACATAACCCTTATCCAGAAGTTCCAGAACCTTCGAGATTGTAATAGACCAAAGTAAGACAAACTGCAGTAAACCATTAATGGAGCTGAGAACCAAAGTACTGCCTAATGTGTGAGGTATAACTGTGAACTGGAGTGACTTTATGATACTGGTATCCACAATCACCTGATTTATGTTATATATTAAGTTCTGCACCTTTAAGGCTGGCTTTGAGAGCTAGGGAAGTTAAAACTGCTGGAGGCTGATGAGAGTTTTTCTCCTGGCCAATAACTGGCCATTTCTGAGAACTGACAGTGGTTTTGACCATTGAAAAGTGAGATCAACCTGTGAACACCACCTTAAGACCTAAGCCCCAGACGTTCTTGCTCTCTTTGGTTTCTGGCTTCTGAGGAGGTAACAGGGCTCTGGTTCAGCCTCCTCCCCCCCTCACCAGGCCGGACAAGGGTGGGGGAGAGCGGGCCCAGGCCGGTCTCTGGCTCCGTTTGCAGCTTCTGCCACTGCTGAGTTTCACCAGAGACTGCTGAGTAAGGAGAGAGAAAAGCTCTGGACCTGCGGCGGGCTGAGACAGTGACCACACTCTCCAGAGCAGCCATGAAGAATCTTCCATCGCAGACAGCTCCAGCCGCTGCTCCGGCAGAGATCACAGAACCATCTACAAAGGCTGGGCAAGATTTGAACCCTTTCACTACCCAGATGAGACTTGCAGATTAATATTTTTTTTCCAGAGAGAGAGGAAGAGAGAGAGAGAGTGATCAACAAAGATCAACAAAGAGACACCATAAACTATCAAAAACAGTGAAGAAAATAATTAAGCTTCAGAGCAGGGAGAGAAATAAAGAGATGCTTTAATAAGCTGAAATATTTTTCTGTTAAAGCTTTGGAGATGGACAACAGCATTCTGAAAAAACTCCTTTAATTCATGACAGAGTATTTTGGGGGGAATGGAGTATTTCAAAGTGTAGATTTAAGCAAATGGTGAAGCAGTTGTGATCCTGTGAGATGCTGGAACAGAAAAAGAAAAGTAATAGTTGAAGATTTGTAGCCTTTAAGAGGCAAAGATAAACTTCTGTTTCCAGAGAAGCTCATAAAAACAGATGAAGAGAACTTTTGCCTTTGAATAACTCATCCTTAAAAATGACACCCCATCTTGACTCATTGACCCATAATACACCTCAGAGGGATGTGAAATGGGAGGAGACAACTGATGGCAGAATTTCCGGTCAGCTGGCATCAGAGAAATAGAAAGCCATGAAGAAAATGGTTTCCTTGTAAAAAAACTCCATAGATTAGCAGAAGAGGAACTCTTTTTCTCTACAAAGACTGATGAAAAGACTATAGCAAAACTGAGACTGTTTTAACCACAAAGTTTTTTGTCTCTATGTTGTCATATGAACAAGAGAATGGTTGAGTAGTAGGGAAAAAAGCTTCTGGAAGTATTATTCTGGTTTCTTATTCTTGTAGTTTTTGTTAATAAACTTTCTTTGTTCCTTTTAAGTTTTAAGCCTGTTTTGCTCTTGTTCTAATCCATATCTCACAGCAAGAAATAAGTAAGCTTTCCAGTGATTTTTTAGTTAATGCTTTTAAACCATGACAAACTGGAAAGAGGACGAACTCCATGACCTTTTCTTCAAGAGGAGAAATCCTCAGTGTGTTTGCCAGGGATCAGATGTCTCCAAAGAGATGATGTCAATATAAACTTAAACTTTTAAGTTGTTGATGGAGCTTAGGATTGCTCCTTTTGTTTTCTTTCTCTCAGGGAATTTCCTCCCAAATGTTGCTGAGACAAAAACAACCTTTACTTACAAAATACAAAATAAGTTGCCAAGGCTCAGGGGAAGGGTGGGAAAGGGTTTGGCTGGCTACTGTCTTTACCTGGGGGGGTTTTATCTTTGGAAAGGAAAAGATACCTCGAGATTTTGGCAGGGTGGTGAAGGGCTGGGCTCAGCTCCTTGCCTTCTCTTGCTGTGGCTTTAGAGGAGGATGGTGCAGCTGCTGTTTACAGAGGGGGTGGAGAGTTCGCTGCTGCCAACGGAGCCCAGCTCTGTCCTGCTTCTCCTGACACGGGTGAGCCTTTGCTCATGAGAGCAATCGCTGAACTGGGACTTACTGGCACCCTGCCTCATTGGAAAGGACACTTGCCATCTCTTCAGGTACCTCAAGGGAGAAGACCGGGACCCTGAACCCCTTCCCTGAGGGCCCATTTACCCAGCTGTGTGAGGCAGCTGCTGCAGAGGAGCAGTCCCTGCTGTTCTTTTGCCGTTTTCTGAGTTTTCACTACACCGTAGCCCCAGTGCCTGCCAGGGCACCCCCTGCAGCAATCTGCTCCTGTCTGCCGTCCCAGCCCGCTGCTCCGAGGTTCCTGCTGCAGTCCATTCAGCTTCCCGGCTGCTTGCCGTGACTTTCCAAAGGAAGCCCCTTGTCCATCCCTTCCGCCAGCCCGCCCGCCATTCCCGTGTGGAGAGAGGCGGCCGAGCTGGCGCCACAGCGCCCCCTGCAGGCGCGGGGGAATCATCGCGCCCGCCCTGCCCGGCCGGGAGCCAGCAGCGCCCCTGCCGGCTGTGCCCGGAACTGCAGCAAAGGGGAAGGTGCCTGCAGCCGGGAGGAGGCTGGGACTGGCTCTCTGGGGCTGTTCCTTGCTGCTGCCGGGGCTGTTGTTTGTTTGCCTTCTCACACACACACACATGTAAAGAACTGCTATTCCTTTTCCCGTATCTGTGCCTGAAAGCCCTGTAATCTCAAAGTTACAATAATTTGGAGGAAAGGGGGCAATATCCTCCATTCCAAGGGAGGTTCCCACTTTCCTTAGCAGACACCCGTCTTTCACACCAAGACAGTTGCTGTTGACAAAATAACTGCTTTTTTAGAAAGAAAAAGCAATATACTTTCAAGATGCATGGTTGATCTAAGCATATCTTAAGAGCAAAGAAAACATCCTAGTAGAGAAGAAAAACAGCAGTAATTCCTACCATGCAGTGGTATAGTGACCTTCTGTCCTGCTTTTCCAGGACCTGTAGTGGTTGTCACGGTTAGCACTGTCTGGGCAGGAGACGCTGACGTGTTTTCAGCACCAATGCTTGACGCTGGAGCAATTGTCAGCTTAGTTCCTTTTGTTAAGGCTTTTTCCATCTGCATTTCTTTGGGGCTGTCTTCTCCAAAGAGCCTTCTCTTAGCACTTCCAGCGGTAGGAGAACTGTAGCGCTCATGAACGGAGATTGGAGACAATGGCTGCATGTCTGGCATGTCAAGGAAGAAAAAATAAACCAAACAAAACCTTAACAGCAGCAGATTAATGGAAATAATTCTGCAGAGAAGGAGAAAGGATACCTTCCAACTACACCAGTAGAGATCACTTGTAGTTCATGCCTGCTCTCAGAGTTCACCATTCTGAGGTGGTAAGAACAAGATCTATTGTCTGACTGACTCCTTTTGCAGTCACCCCAGAGCACAGTTCTGCCATCAGGTATTACATGGAAGTTGAGCAGCCACTCTGATCCAGAGACTCAGGAACACACAGGATCATAGGTACTTACTCCAGTCAGCCTAGCAATTAGTAATATTTCCAAGTGTTACTCCTGTGAACACATTCCTCTACAGGAACCCTGACCACATTCCTTGGACATGATGTCTTCCCTATGTTCTGGCTTTCCAAGTCTCTCTAAACTGTCCCCAGTCAGGTGACTCCACCCTCACACAGCCCCAGTTCCTCTCAGGCTTTTCTGTTGTTTTCAAACATTTACTCCAGTAGTAAACCTGATGTACACAGCACTAAGGTAACAAGCTTCTGTTCACAGGCTTTTTGCATTTCTGCTGTAGTCTGTGACAATAACAGTGACAACAGTTTCCTATTTCCCATGAATCAGAAATTGTCTGGATAACTGGCCAGGTAAGACTGACTTGAGACTTTACTTTTAACTCTGACAAGATGGTTCCCTTGGTACCAGATATAAATAAACATTTCCTATCCCCACCATTCTCCAACTGAACTTAGGAGAAGCCTCTAGTATCAGATTCTCATATTCAAAGCTGTGTCTCACACAGCCTTCCCCATATATAAGATACCATCTCCAATCTGGTTCCTCTTCTATCAGTGAGCCCTAACACAGCAATTGCTTGTACATCTCCTTCCTAAGGAGTATTAAAAAAAAAGACTGAACAGTGTTGTTTGTTGGCAGACAAACACCGAAGGGGACATTACACAACCCACCAGTCCATGGTACACCTGCAAGAACATACGGACCAGTGTCTGGGATACAATGAAAGCAGCAATTCCTAACTAGAGAAGCATGCAAAGGAAACAGCAGTGCTGGCACTGCTTCTGCACCCTCACTGTCAGGAGGGTTCTGTGTGTGTGAGATGCAGGAATCTGCCAAGAGCAGTTCTTCAGAGGACAGAACACTGTAGGCAAAGCATTGTCCTCCACCCCTGCACAAAAACAGTATAGGAAGCAGGAATAAATGTAGCTCTGTCATTACATTAAAGTCACCTAAAATCCAGTCAAACTCACTGAGCATAAACTAAGAGAAAGCAAAATAAAAAAACTGGAAAATTTGAACATGAGTGGACAGTAAGTGATTAGATGACAACCCACCTCAGAGTAAGGTCAACCTGGCATCAAACCAGCAGCAAATTCTGCTCCAGACCAGAAGGGAAGTATTGTCACAACTCTGCTGCCAGTGAGTCACAGCACTGGTTTGAGTGCATCTAGACCTTTCCCTGATCAAATAAACTTCACAATTCTGAATGCTCAATTCAGATTCAAGGTTGCTTTTTGCAATTACAAAGAAGTTTAAAACACCTCTCCCCAAAATCACTCATTCAAATATCAGAAGCCTTGAACATACCTCGTCTTAAACTCCCACCAAGATCTGTCCGAACCTCTTTCACTCGAGGATGAATTATGGGAGATAATGGCATCATGGGCAAGTGCCCAAACCCACTCCCTCCATTGCTGGCCTCAAAATTACTGGGAAATATTACCTGAGAAATAAGGAATGTCAGTGTAAGGTAACAAATTAACTTCCCTTCTTTGTGACAATCTATTAAAAGAAGATTTTCTGCAGTAATGGTCTCATTTGAACAGTTTTCTGTATAAAACAACAAGTGATAAAAAGAATATGAATTTTCTAGTAACAGGAATGAGATCACATACTTCTTCACAGGTTGGGACTTTGTTATCTGAGGCCTCAAGTGCATTCCAGAGTGCTGAGTTCCGAGTCCAGGCCAGACTCTCCAGAATCTGTTCCTCAATGCTATTGAGGTGCTTCACCATGTCTCTGGAAAGTCCTTCCTCAGACCGAATCAGCACTTCTATAACCTGATGGCAATGACACAAACACAGAACAATGTCACACTGCTCATGTTTAACACCATCAAACTGTTATTTATTTCAGGCTCCTGTTCAAAATATCAACACAGAGTGCTCCAGCCTCCTCCTCACATCTTCATCTTCCCCAACTGTCTTCTGATCCCTCTTTTTTAGCCCCCTTTCCCAAAGCAACCTTGGAGCTGGAAGAAGACAGCAGACAGGCAATCAGTGCAGAACAATCCAGTCCAGGGGCTTTTATGGCCCTCTCTCACCACAGCTAACTGTGCACAAGTGAAAGCACTGGGCACATGCAGCACTGACCTGGGAGATGTGATCAGGTACAGCTGCCCAGTCGGGGATGTGACAGCCCCAGCATTTCAGCTCTCCTTCCTCACAAACAAACAGCCCATAACATGAGGAGCTGAAAACCACTGATTTAAAGTTCCATTTAAGAAGCACTCAGAACCCTTAACGTGAATAAATGGGTCTGACTGATCAGAGCTGACTGATCCCCTGCAGTATTATACTCCAACACAAGATCCACCCTGTGTTATTCCTGTGAGAGGAGCATTCAGCCTGTTTTCCTAAAGCTCCAGAGATGGAAATGCCATAAAAGTTCACCGGAAGCCCTATTGATATGTTTAGTTATTCCTGCTACAGAAGCTAAACCCAGAGAACAAAGTTACAAATATCACAAGTCTCTCTAGTGTGAGACCTTTGCAATGGTAATTTTTGTTCAAATAAGAGTGCTGCAAGAATATACACTGAATGGCTAAGAAAATTTAAACCAAACATAAATCTGTTCCACAAAGTTGGATGTGCACCAGTTTTGATGCAGGCCATGACAATATTGACCATCAGCCACAGCAATATTGACACATTTGTTACAGCACCAGTACTGCCCTGCAGCTGAGGAGTAAAGGAAAAAGGAAGGATAGAATACAAACCAGCTTTCCCAAAGGTTTCAATTTTTTGGTTGCTGTCATCTAAACAGAACTACTTGATTTATTCAGAACTAACCCCAGTAAGCTGCAAGGCATCCAGCAAAAACTGGAGGCATATGGATAGGTGAAAAAAGGATTGAAGTAGTGAAAAATCAAGTTACACTGGAAGTGGGGAAAATATGGTTAAATAAAGAGCAAAACCAGAGAACACCCTGGAAAAGATATTCTGTTACATACAGGAAAAACCCCAAAACTTAGCAAAGCCAGCCTGTGATAAGTAGTAGCGGCCAAAGGCAACATTTCAGATCTGTACCTGCTATTTCAGAACTGCATTGCAGCCAATAAATATAAATATCAACAAAATATATGCTTGAAGGCTTTAGTCTAGTAAAAGTTGATCAACAGTATGTTACAGATCAGTACCATTTACAAAATGTGACATTTTCTTTATATTTCAGTTTCATCTCTGGCATTACACTCCATTACATTACATTACATTCCAAACAATACATTTAAGGAGCACCAGAATTTAGAATAGGCCTAATGCAATTAGTATCAGTCCTTGTCTTTCCCTGACTCCCTAGGGAGGAAGAACATCATTCTCTATGACCCTCAATCCAGTTACATGCCATTTTTAATACAGATCCTGTCCTAAGCCAATGTTTATTTACCTTATAGAAATAGAATGGCCTGAGGTCAAGCACTTCAATGATCCAGGGGAAGGTGCGAGGGGAGCTGTAAGCGAAGAGCACAATCTCCAAGCAGCATGCCAGGAGGGAGCGGTGAAAGAGATCCTGTTCCAGGAGAGCCTGGAGAGACCACAGAAAATGGCACTGGCCTCAGATTTGGCAAACAGAAGTTGGAATTTTGTGGCACTAACACTACACAGCTTATTGTTGGAAAGAAGCTGGCTTCTTCTCCCATCCACAACCTCCTTTTCACAAGAAAGTTGAGGAGACAGAAGTAGAGTAACAACACCAAAATGATCATATTTTGCATGCTATGGACAAATGAACTGGCATCCTTTGCTGTGCATCATAAAGCAGAGCAAATGCAGTGCTGTCTAACATAAAGTACTGATATACTCTTCGTTGGATAAAGAAGAGAATAAAGGTTGTCTGTCCATAAAGTTGTGATTCTAGAAGGCAACACAAATTCAGATGTTTAATTATGACAGTTATACTGGTTTAAATAGTAGAAGAAAAACACATTTTGGCAGCTCCCATGTATTTCCCCTTTTTAGTATTAACAATATACAGAGTGCTTTACAGTGCTTTGTTCTGGAACTGCCTGAAGATAAACTCCAAGAACAGTTAAAAAAAATGTTCTAATCTTTCACTGATTCTTTACTTACAGTCAGATCCTTCCCATGCAGTCTCCGTGTTTCTTGCACCATTATAGTCTCCAAGATTTTATAGTACAAGATCTCTGCCAGTTTTAATCTGTTTACAGCAAAATCTGAAATTTAAAATCAACAGAGATTAAATCCAATGCCAGTGACACAAACAGGGTTAAGACTAAACTGACCAGCACCTGTCCTCATCCAAAATAATAGTTATGTCTGTAAATACAGACTTTGCAAACAGAAAAAAAAAAAAAGTTCATAAATAAACTAATCCAAATGAAATTCCACAAATATTTTAAAGGATTATTTATTGTAATATTTCTTGTGACGTAATTTTTCAATAATTATTTTCTTATTTGCTTTCAGTTTCCTTTAAATTTTAAAGCTAACAAGAATGCAAGTTTACACTTGTTAAGAGTTGCTTTTCCATGACTTCTTGGTTATCCCAGTTTGAACTGCAGCCTTGGGATTACTCTGCCATAAATTTTTACTCTTTACAGTGTACTGTTTGACAGTAGCAGTTTTCTGCTTGGGTGTATCCTGGGACAAAACCAGCTCCACTACATTAAATACAGAAAACAGTATAGGTATGCATTCTGTTTGCCCTGGTTTAGTATTTTGAAACACCCCATGCCTTTCACTCCATACCTATGTGAGATCCTGGCTGCTCATCCGTTGACTGAGTATAGCTGCAACAGAAGGTCTCACCAATTTCCTTCACTCTGCTCATGATGCTTTCCAAGGGACTATGGGCACAAGACCTGAAGCCAAAGGCAAATAAAGCCTTGTTTGTATAAGTTAATATCCAGCTTAAAAAAATAAATATCAAGAAACAACAACCATAAAACCAAAATAAAAAGAAAAGCCGCTTATACTGAGCATTCCTTATCAGCAAGAACGTGTAATACACAAACAGAGGAAAACATAAAACACACACAAGAATCATGTCCTCTCTTTCTAACAGGGCCAGGGAGGATATGCAGATCTTGGAACAAACTCAGGAGAAAGCAAGAACCATAGCAGCACAGTGAGGAGAAAGATGAACCTGCCAGGAGTAAGGATGCTACAACAGGCACCCATGACACCACACAGGCCAGGCTGTTTGAGGGAGCACAGAAAAGCTTAAAGGAAGTTGCAGCAGCATTTTCCCATTTCCTACCAAGACTGGGAGAACTGATGAACTTCACGTTGTCACTACCATAAAAAAGGGCCATAATATCTCTGGCTGGAGATGCCCTTTCTGAATGCTTCTGAATTTTCCAGCAACTCTGTTTTAGAGGACAGTGGCCTGTGGCTGGTGTCAAATTAAGACACTAAACTACTCTGAAAAGCTAGAATTAAAATCAGCTAAGGTTTCTCTTTGAACAAAGCCTTCTAATTAACTTCAAAGCTTTCTTCATGGAATTTTAATTTGAAAAAGAAAGTTCTGAAAAACATAGGTATTACACAGTCCAAACTACAGTTCCTCCACCTCTTTCAGGGACACAGTATATATACTCCAGTGCTCGCTGAACTCATATCCAAGATGAGCAGAGCACTCATCACAGGTCTTGCAAAGGTTTACTCAATTCTTGTTCCCATTTTAATATTTACCTCTCTCTTGACAGTCTGGTTTATTATTTGAAACAAACACATGTTTTATTAGAGATTACAGACACATTAATGTCTTATTTGTATAGTATAAACAGTATCAGTCCTTATAAAAACAAAGAAACATTCAACACAAATGCATCCCATAAAGCACAGCTGTAAATTTTTAAGAACTAGTGCTAGCAAAACTTTCAAATATATATAACTCCAAAGATGAGAATGGTAAGTAATATTTTTCACCTGTTCATGATGGTTATTTTAAAAAAAACATTGCTTCTTCCACTTCAAATATTAAGTGCTAATACTAAACATCCATTCTGATTTGTAAAAATACACCTGGAGATCTTACATTGTAATACAGCAGGACTTAAACTTGTTAAGATATTAGGCAAACACACAGCATCTTTACAGGTATTTACTATTCAATTACTGTTTTATGAGCTATGCCCAGGGAGGAAGGCAGAAATCTGAAATGTGCTCAGGGAACAGCCACCAGAATACCCTGAGTGGGAAACATGACTGCTGCTATTCCAGGTCAGCACTGACAGTGACAACGCTCACTGTGAGGCTCATCCTTGTGCCATGGGGTTAGACCAACACACCCTGAAGTAGTGTGAAGGAAAAATGGGCAAGGTGTAAGCTGTTTTATCTTCCCAGCTGAGGGCAAAGACTGAAGCTTGTTCACCTGACCGTTTCCACCCTCCTCTAAAACCTCTGCCAACATGGCTACCACCACATCTTTTAATTGAGAAGTACTTATTTAAAATGTAAACAAATAAAAAAGGCATTTGGCTTTCAAGCAGACAGACCAATCAACATCAGCAAAAGCTGAAGCCCCATTAACACAATGGTAGTGACAAGTCAGATGGGTGTGTGTGTGTGTGTTCAGCCATCCTTCTCCAGATGAGAACATCTAGAAAACAGAAGATCCTTCAACAAGAAATAATATAGAAACACAGACCAAAATATTCTGCCCTGAAAGAAAAAAAAAACAAAAGATAAGTTTCTGTGTTAATGAGAGCAGCTGAAGTGGACATACTCACTCAAAAATAGCTGTAAGTTGTTCACTTGGTGCATTTTTCAACCCAGCCACCATGCTCTGCAAACGGCTCACGCTCTGTGTGGCCGAAGCCACAGGAGTGATGGCAGCTTCCTTTTCTCGCAGGTATCTTCTGCCAGTCAGTGGAGTTGAAGGTGCAAATGACCTTTTCTGTCAGATGGAGAAAAATAATAAATAGAAATCAGCCAACAAAACTGTTTCAATTACCTTCCAAATGAGCATCTCCTGCAAAATTCCTTCAAGAAATAAAATGACACCACTAATACAACCACATGAAGGCTTCATCAAACCTGTGAGCTCAGAAGTGACTGAAAACAAGCCAAAGTTTTCCCAGGACTCCATAAATATAAAATATAATGAATCTTTGTGGAGCCAAAAGTTAACTCAAAGGGATTTTACAACTAAAACACAGTAAAACTAGACCTAAAATCTTAAAACCTATAAAATTTTAGACTCATTTGAACATTGAAAATACAGGGTAAGGAAGAGGAAGCACATGCTTCCATTCTCAATCCCTGACTGCATTAGCTGACACAAGGAGTAGGTGGTAGAGCTGCCCAGGAGATATTCACAGGAGAACATTCCTTGGGAAATGGGCCTCCCTTCATCCAAAGGATGAAACAGCAGTGAGCAGATGGAGCTGTGTGGACTGCACTTACCTATTTGTATCCTGCTCTCTGGAAGTGAAACAATAAAGTTTTTGGATTTATTTATCTGAACTGACAACATTCTGAAGATATAACGCAAATAATGAGAAAAGGTTAAGCCTGCACAGGCATTATGCATATTCATATACTACAGAAACTGAAGCTCAAAATGAATAAAACCCATTCAATTTGCCTGAATATGAAATACACTTATATTTGGGAGAAAAAGATAAGACATATGATTCATTTACACTAGCACCAGCATCTTAAAATAAGAATTCTTATTTTTTAATTGACATGTAAATCAAACAGCATATAGTTCTTTCACATAGCCAGTACTATCTCTCCCCTTATCCAAGAATAAAAAGTAATCAAGCAACTGTTTTCCTGCATGTCAACTTCATTAAATACATTTTACATTTTTAAACATAATGAAACATTAACTCTGTTTATAGATTATTTTTTGTAATGAAGAGAGACTTTGTTGAGGTTTTTGCATGAATCTTATTTTCCATAGAAGAGTAGGAAAGTTGACTTTTCCTTTCCTAAGAAAGGAAACAGTGGGAAAACAAATTAATTCAGTGTCAAGGTTTCGAGTTATGATTATGGCATATAAATGAAGCTTGACCAAAACTAAGTCCTACATATGTAGTAACATATTACTTACTGATTTTTCTTGCACAAAACCAGACAATACACATGAAGTGTGCTCATTCTGTTTAAGGAATAGTTATTTTAAAAATTCCACAGGAAAGGAGAATTTTCTCCTTAGCAACACAGCACTGAAGCCTGTGTTCACCATCTTCCTCCCAGCAAGAAGAAATTTCAAGTCAACCCAATGATTCAAAGAGTGTATAAAGACAGGAAAACTTGAAGGAGAACTTCAAGTGAGCTTGCCATTTTAAATTAATCACCTTTTCAAAATGCTGCTGCAGATGACACTCCATGTGAGCTCTTGCTGCCATTTTCTCTCCTGGCACATCTGCAGGGAATTTTCGAGTGCCAATTTCTTCTTCAGCATCAGCTCCCAGGAAAACTCTCTCATCAAAGTCACCCACGGTCAGAACATACTCTTCATACTCTTTATTCAGTGCTTTGCTGAAAGAGAGGCCCAGGTTTGATAAGAAAGGTTTAACTGCTGAACAAAGAAAGAAGGTGCCCCAGGTGTGCTGGTACAACCCCAAACCAGCACAGGGTCAGAGTTTCATGCTCTGGACAGCAGTGCTGCTCCCACCTCCCTGAGCAGCCTGGCCCCAGCCATCCCTGCCTGCCCTTGGACCCAAAACCTCTCTAGGATCACTGCAGGAATCACTCTTCCACCAGCATTTGGATCTCAGTTAGAAAAGGGAAAAAACAACTTTGCTTTCACACCAGTTGTAAATAAACCAGTCTGGAAGTGCTCAGCTGCTCAGAGGTTAAGTCTGTGCACACACAAGGAGAACTGCACCCAACTCACTCTGCTGGATTTCTGGGTTTGCCACTCTGTAGCCCCTAATTTTCCTAATGGTACAGAGGAGAGGAAAGTGAGGAATTATTTCTGGGTTTTATTTCTAAAACCACCACTGACATGTGACTCCAAACAAATCCTTAATTTTCTTTATTCCAGCAAACCCAACTGGAAAAAAGGAATGTTTAATCCCACCAGGGTTGCAAAGCTTTAAGTGTATACTTGGGAAGTAGAATGGAACTTCTGGATGAAAATCAGAAATGGCTTGAATCAATAATCCTGGCTGCAGTTGGGCCAGGAATGCAGTTCCAGCATGTATAATAATGGAATAAAACAATGTATTCATGACACAAGCAACTCTGTGATCCCACAATAAACCTGATTGCATCACAGGTTCAGCTGCCCCATGTCTTTTAGTGTGAAGTGAAGGTCTGTGGAAAGTTGGACAAAAAACACCCCCAGAGATGCTTACAAGTGTCTCTGAGGTGTCAGACTACTTGCAAAATAACAGGGACTACTGAATCATTCCACATGACAGTATTACTGAAGGAACACTCTTAAAGTAGAAATACTAAGAGAAATTCAATGTTCAATTATCAAATAAATGAGTTTGTATCTAAATTGAGGTGTTATCTGCATTGTTAAAACAACTGAGTCCTTGCTCAAAATTCCCAAAGCAAACCAACAAGTTAAAAGCTCACAAAAGCCAAAAACAAATTAATAGGTATTTTTCCAAAAGGCAAAAAAAGCCTGACAAGGATTTTTTATAGTTTGCATTTAAAGCAGCTTTCAGAGGTGAATTCAAACTTTCCGAAACAACTACACTTGCCTCCCACAGAAATTGTTCACCTCTTTTTTGTGGTTTTGCAATTGTTCTTTGCTTCTTTTTCTTTTGAGTCCATCTGCTGCCTCCACAGATTTATACACTCAATTAGAGACAGAGAAATAAATTTAGAGATTTCCCTACTTGAGCATAATACGTGTATAGAAACACATCTGTGACCTTCAGAGCCAAGGTTTTGATTTGCATTACATTATTCAAAGGTTACGGTTGCCAGAAAATCAGAGCAAGTACCAAAAAAACTGACATCAAGAAGAATCTCTGCAGCTTGAACCCCTGACATCGGGGTTTCAGCCAGAGACCAGCTTTGATGGACAAATAATCAAAACCCATTAATTATGGCAAGACAAAGGAACAGGAAAACTGAGATTTAGTACAGAAAGGCCTGTGCTTGACATGAACAAAGCCCTATGATTAAGAACAAAAGCTGTTACTTACCTATTTTCTGTAAAGTTGCAAAGATCCAACAGACAATCTCCTTTTAAGATCTAAGAAAAAAAAGCACAAATATCTTAGATAATAAAATCAAAACTGTTTCAAGTCTGAGGGCATGATGGTTTTAGTCAAAAAGGAAATGAGATTTAGGTGCATAACTGGACTCCTTTTTTTGCCTAGACCAAAGGGCTACAGTGCCATTACCAAGACAAAGAACAAAGCCCAACTGGATCCAGGCTCCATCCAAACTCACTGCTCAGAGCCAGCCCTGCAATGTGGCATCTGTCCACTGCTGGGTTAGGGACTGGCTCGATGAGCAACTACAAAGAAGCTTCTGCAGAGCTTGCAAAACGTTTCCAGGATCAGAACTGGACATGACAATTTCTATATCTGCAACCTCAACCTCTCCTTCCAATTCATTTTGCTCAACTTCAAGACAAGCAGCAGGACCCACACTCCCACGACAGATATCCCATACAATTATTTCACAAGGAGATAACTTTTTTTTTGCCTGAAGAAAACACCATCCTTCATGATTCAGTTTCACACTGCCAAGAAAGGAAAGCAAAGATTCTTCACTGACATAAAAAGCTGAAAGAGAGGAGACCTTACAGCACACAGCATTAGAAGTGTGAGGGAATTCTGCTCCTGCTAAAATACAAAGAAAACTGGAGCCAGCCTGAGTTCCTTTGCTCACGAACAAGTTCCTTTGCTCTCCCCTGTGGAATGTGCAGCACTTAAATGATCTCAAGACCACCATGAAGCACCACCAAGTGCTCATAAAACTCACAAGTTATACCTTCCTATCAAACAGCTTTGCAATGTATGGTTTGAAGTAGTGCTCCTTTATGCCTTTCGCTTCCACGAGGAGCCCGTCGTGCAGCTCGCAGAGCATGGCCACGATGCAGGGAGGATCCTCGGAGGCATTGATCTCCAGAGTGTGGAATTCCACTGGTAAGCCTGGGAACCAGGAGGAGGGGGAAGACAACCAACCTTCAACTTCATTTCAAATGAGCCAAGAGAACAAAGCACACTTGATTGTAAATAAGCTGTCCCCACCATACCTTTAAATGATGGATTTAGCAAATCTCTTCTGTTTGGACACAGAAGGGCATTGGCAAAAACCAGGTCCAAGCAGCATAGAAGTAAATGATAGGAATTTACTAAATCATCTCCAATCATATGGAAATTACCTTTAAGAGACAGCACATCATGTCAAGCAACACAACAGAAAATCACATCTGGGAATGTATACAAACCACGAAGGCAAATCAAGCAGCCTACCCTTAGTGTACACAAAAAGAGTCCAGCAGAAGTTGAAGAGATCTTTGACACTACATGGCACCCGCCTGTCAACAAGAAAAATGGGGGCAGAAATTACTCTTCAGTTCCAGGAAGCCAAACCTTTTCTACAGCACAAATTCCATTCCATTTCCCTGCTCAAAACAATGGCTGGAGCTGCTGTCTCAATTCCACATTAAGGCACAGTCTAAGCTACATGTCAGTCCAGTCAGTTCAGCTCTCACTGCCTGACAGACAGTGCCCGACCTGGCTCCACAGAGTGTCTTGCACACATCCACAACTTCCCGACCCTGTTCCCAAGCCAAAGGCTGCCTCTGGCCTCTGACCCTACCACGCTATTCTGCTGGCGTCATACCTCCCACAGAACCCTCCAGCAGCCACAGGTGGGGAGGTGACAAAGGCTATATATATTCCAGTGAGGGTTTTCCCAAAATATTTTACTAAAGCATCAGCCTTCAGAGCAGGCAATTTTAGCTTGTACTACAGCTCAGCTGCTGACTCCTGTTTGGAGCAGAACTATCCAAGCCCATGGAGCTGGAAGACCAAGGAAGACATGACTCAGCCCACAGAGCAGCCAAAGCCATGGTGGCACCAACCAACACTGCTCTGAGAAAGGAACATGAACAGAGCACTCGACAGAGCACCTCCTCTGCACTCTGCCTGTGGATGTGGAGTTACACAGGAGCATTGTACCACAACAATTATCTCCCCTCTCCAGAGAACCCACACGAACTAACAAAAACACCTTGCAGATCCACATTTTGGCTGCCTCATCCCCAAGGTTACATTCTCACTACAAAACTGTCACAGCCACATATTCTTGCAGGGAATATGGACACACTCCTTTCAATAAGGCAGACGTTTCATGTGTGTGGAAAATGACACCACACATTTCCAAATCTGTCATAAAAATGTGCACATCAGCTGTAACTTCCTCCCATTTGGTGTTTCCATTCATCTGGCAACCACGGCAAACACCTGGCAGCATGGAGGCCACAGGGATGTGACAGCCCCAAGCAGAGGGATCATGGCATGATCCCAAACCCCTGCCACCACTGCCAAGACAAAACACTCTTGTGATACTTCAGCTATTTCTGCTAAACATTTAAAGTGTATCTTGGAGCTAACCCACCTCACGGTACCTCTCCCCACCACACCCCAACATTCTCACAGCAGGACAGTTCCTGTGCTACAGCAGCTGGTTGTGAAGCCCAGATGATATGAGCTGCACCCACCAGGGTCAGGGGTGGCTCTGCACTGGCTGCATTTCAGAGTCAAAGAAACCCCATCACTTGGGAAATTAATTTTCATAAACTTATACTGGGTATAACTCTTTCCAGGGAAAAGTCACATCAAATCTAAAAAATACCTCTGCTTCCTGCTTCGATGCGGTTTGGAAGTTTCTTCATAAGGGTTTTGAAATATATCAAAAAATATTGGTTCAAACTTTTTGAAAATCACAGTTGACACTTCAAAATTTCTCTCCAGTCTCTCAACTCGCTCTCGGAATTCCTGGGGCAGGTTTGACATGTCCATCCACTTCTTCATTTTGCTAAAAAACTGAATTAAACTTAAAAGGAAAAAGAAAAATCTGCTTTGAGCTTTAACTAACTTTCATTATAAAATTTTAAAAAGCCAAAATGCTTTTAATGTTTTTTTTATTTACTTCTTTAATGACTGACATGATTACTATGTAGGCTTACAACTCATTTTGATAAGACTCCCAAACTGTATATGTTATCAGATTTTTGCCTTTTATCACTCTGGGGTTTCTCCTTGACCCTCTTTAAGGCATTGGAACATTAATTTGATGTGGAGGCTGCTGGCATGGCTGTGTGGAGCAGGACAGTGGTGGACATCAAAGTGCAAGCACGGCTCTGCATGTGCTGAGGTGAAGGCAGGACAGGCAACAAAACAAGCCAAGAGCTGATGCCTGTCAAAGTTACCTGTACAGAAACCTGTCAGCTGGGGATGTAAATAACTGACAACCACTCCAGCAGCTCAGCGGGGATTGGGGCTTTTAAATGTAACGAGCGAGATTCCAGGCTCCTGTTCCCAGGTCACAGCCACAGTGACAGGGGAGCTGCTGCCGGGGTTGTGCAGAAGGTGAGTTCTGTTATCACCAGCGCCGTGTTCCCAGAAAAACCAGCAGCTGCCAGCACTCCGTCGGGATTTGGCCTGAATCCTGAGTCAAACACACGATGTACCGGGATGGCACGCGCCGAGGTGTTTGTGGTAAAATTAACTACAGAGAGAAACAACTGGCGCGTGTAGAACAGCTGCTGGTCCGACAGAGGCCGTTTCCTAAAGGCTTGAAGTTGGAAATCACGTATTTGCATCTCATTTCCATCTGTACTAACAGCGGATTTACTGCTTTTACCCCGCCGCGGCCGGCAGGGCTGGGAGCGAAGGAGCGGCACTGGGATCAGCGGCTTTGGCAGAGCAGGGCAGGGCACTCCCGGCGCTGAGCGCTCGGCCCCGGCAGGGCCCGGCCCCGCGGGCGGGGCGCTCACCTGAGGCGTGCGGAGCGCAGGATGCGGGTCAGGGAGACGCCGTTCCCCTCCATCGGGCTGCTCCCCACGGTGGGCACGCGGCTCCGGCGGCAGGCGACGTACAGCGCGCAGGCCAACCAGTGCAGCGCCTCGCCCTGAGGGCACGGGAACCGCGGTCACCGGGGCAGCGCCGCGCCCCGCGGGCTCGGCCGGGGCGGGACCGTCCCCACCCCCGCCCCCGCCCGCCCGGCCCCGCTCACCTCCAGGCTGTAGGTGCCCCGCAGCGCCGTGAAGTCGCGCAGCGCCTCGGCCGCGCTCGCCGCGTCCAAGTTGAGTTCCCGGCAGAGCCGCTCCACGGCGGCCCCGGGATCGGCGGCCCCCGGGCGGGACATGGCGGCGGAGCGCGCGCCAAAACCGCCGGAAGGGCGGGGCCGCTTCCGCCGCGGGGAGAGAGCGGGGCGGGGACAGGGACACGGACAGGGACACGGACAGGGACAGGGACAGGGACAGGGACACGGACAGGGACAGGGACAGGGACACGGACACGGACAGGGACAGGGACAGGGACACGGACAGGGACACGGACAGGGACAGGGACACGGACAGGGACAGGGACAGGGACAGGGACACGGACAGGGACAGGGACAGGGACAGGGACGCGGACAGGGATAGGGACAGGGACAAGGATAGGGACAGGGATAGGGACAGGGACAGGGACACGGACAGGGACACGGACAGGGACAGGGACACGGACAGGGACAGGGACACGGACACGGACACGGACAGGGACAGGGACACGGACAGGGACACGGACAGGGACAGGGACAGGGACAGGGACACGGACAGGGACAGGGACGCGGACAGGGATAGGGACAGGGACAAGGATAGGGACAGGGACAGGGACACGGACAGGGACAGGGACAGGGACACGGACAGGGACAGGGACACGGACACGGACAGGGACACGGACAGGGATAGGGACAGGGACAAGGATAGGGACAGGGACAGGGATAGGGATAGGGACAGGGATAGGGATAGGGATAGAGACAGGGACAGGGACAGGGACACGGACAGGGACAGGGACAGGGATAGGGACAGGGATAGGGATAGAGACAGGGACAGGGACACGGACAGGGACAGGGACAGGGACAGGGATAGGGACAGGGACACGGACAGGGACAGGGACAGGGATAGGGACAGGGATAGGGACAGGGATAGGGACAGGGACAGGGATAGGGACAGGGACAGGGACATGGACAGGGATAGGGACACGGACAGGGACAGGGACAGGGATAGGGACAGGGATAGGGATAGGGACAGGGATAGGGATAGGGACAGGGACAGGGACACGGACAGGGACAGGGATAGGGACACGGACACGGACAGGGACAGGGACACGGACAGGGACTGGGACAGGGATAGGGACACGGACAGGGACAGGGACACGGACAGGGACAGGGATAGGGACAGGGACAGGGACACGGACAGGGACTGGGACAGGGATAGGGACACGGACACGGACACGGACAGGGATAGGGACACGGACACGGACAGGGACAGGGACAAGGACGAGCGCGGGGGGGGGCGGTGGAGGCCAGCCCGGGGTCACCCCTCTGCCGGCCGGCGCTCGGTGCTGGCCGGTCCTCGCGGCTCATTCTCCCGCACGGCTCCGGCAGGAGCGGCTTTTCCTTGTCCCGCGGTACCCTGGGACACGCGTGGGTGCAGCATCCTCACGGCAGCCCCGGGCCCCGCTCCCGTCACGCGTGGCACGGCCCCGCATCCATCCCCATCGTGGCGGGGCTCAGAGCGCTCCCTGGGGCCGGTTCCACTGGAAGCGGCGCTGATGGACGGAGCTCCCCTGGGAGCACTACGTGTCGGGAGCCGTGGCCGTGGGGACACCGCCCGGCCCGTGGGCAGAGGAGCGGCTCCCGGACCTCTGGAAGGGGCTCGAGTCACGCAGCGTCCGCAGCGCTGGTTCGGGGATAGGGAGCAGGGCTCTGGAGCCGCCTGTCACTGGAGGATACCTGAACCACCTCCCTTCTGCTGGGAGGGGTGCGTGGCACGGAGCACTCGCGGAGTTCGCCCGGAACGGGCGCGGCGGATCCCCCTCCCCGGTACCCGCGGGGATGCTCAGGACCCGGCCCCGCTCACTCGGCAGCCTCTGCCCTGCCCCGACCTCCGGCACCACTCACAGACCCCGGGGTTGGTTTTCTTGAAAATGCCCTTTTGCAAAGCGCAGGGATCAGTTCGTGGGATCTGCAGGCTGGTGTGGCTGGTCCCTCTCCGAGAACCAGATCAGCTCTGTGCTTTCCAAAATCCTACTTTCCATAAAAACCAGCCTTAATCCAACATCTAAATCTATTTGGAAAGGTTTGACATAAGAGCATGGAAAACTCCCTGTCATCAGCAGACAGGAAATGTGTTTCATTTGGGGTAATGAGGCTATAAGTCCCACAGGCTTATTTATTCCTTCCGGGTCAAAGATGTATCTTCCTCTGGATGAGCTGAGCTTTTCTTTCTTGTGCATCTCTTCCTCTATTAGAAATCTCTGTCCTTTTCTGGAGGGAAAAGTCACTGCGAGGTTTTCCTTTAAAATTTTGTTTTTCCAAAGAGTGCAGGCAATTCCTGTACAATGTCTCCCAATGCTATAGCACAGCCAGCTAAAAAACAACCAATGCTTGGCAGGAGCCCAGAGGGAGGAGAGGCTGGAGCATCTGCCATGGCTCACACCCCCCTCAGCTGCTCCTGCAACAGGTCCAGGACATTGCTATTTCTTGAAACCCTCTGAAGGCTCACACTGAGCTTGCCTGAACTGATGCATTCAGACAAGCTGGGATTGTGTTCCAAGTTAAACCAGTAATGTCACATCCCAGCCAGACCACTGACAAATGGAGCCAGCTGTTCATGAATTAAAATCCCACTGGAGGGAGAACAAGGCCACATGGGGAGTGGGACTGATCTGCTGGGCTGTAAGATCTTGCATTGTTTTACACCTTCTGAGGTGAAATCTTGCTCTTTTGGTAATTAATGCCACCTCTGGCACTGCACTGATGGTCCCCAGCCACCTCTGGGAGCACTTTCCGAGCAAGGGAAAGGGAACAGACCAGAAGCAGCCCTGGAATGCAACATGGCCAACTTGGGTTCATCCCATTCTGCCTGGATTTCACAACAAAGCCGTTTCCAACATGGACATCCCTGGTGTCAAAGTCAAAATGCTGAACACAGGGAATTCTGCATAAATATATAAGCTGCCTTTTTTCTAATTATTTTCTTTCTTTCTGCACATAGCATCTCTGAGGACATATCCTTGACTGAAAAATATGTTTAGTTAAAATTTGTTTAGTTAAAATTTGTTTTTAGTTAAAATTTGTTTTTAGTTAAATGGGGTTTTTTTTGCATTTTTGTTTAGTTAAAATTTGGTTTTAGTTAAAATTGGTTTTTAGTTAAAATTTTTTTTGCATCCCAAAAAGCCACATGGGAGGGTGAGGATGATGTTCTTAGGCCTGCTGTCCAAATGTACCTGGCACACTGCACACATTGATGGGAAGGGGATTGAGAGACAAGCTGGATTTCTCTTCACTTTTCCAGAGCTGCTGCTCTGCGGGTGGCTGGGCCGACTCCTGTTCTGGCAGAACTGCTCGTCTGTCACAGCACCCACGGCCTGTGAGGCATTTGGGGACTTCACCTGGAGTGTAGTGTAGTGCTTTGAGGTTGTAAAATGTGAGGAGATTCCTATCTCATGACTCAGCCCATGCTCCAGAGTCCTGGGGCAGAAATGGCTCCTGAAGAGGCGAGGAGTAAAACTGCACTGAAAAGCTCAAGTTTTAATCAATGCAAACCAGGATGCCATTAGAGAAATTGCCTTCTCCTCACTGCCGGCCAAGATTTCCAACACCAAATCCTTTCTTGCAACTGTCAAGAGCCCAGAGGGACATCTGCACTTGGGGTAGGTAAAGCTCCCCCAACCATGGCCCAGTGCTGAGGAAAATTCTTCCCCCTTTTTGTGACCATAAAGGGAATTAGAGATCCTGTCTAAACGTGTGATGAGACTTCTCTGTGTCCCATCAGATCAAAACCAGACAGGAACAGCAGTGGGGATGTGCAGCTGTGCCCATCTTACTCTCTCACAGTCCAGGAAGGGGCACCTGTATCCTGCAAAACACAACAGGGAGCAAGCTGTGCCCATGGTGCCCATCCTCCACCACATCCATTCACTGCCACCAGCAGGTAGCACATCTTGTCTGAAGAGACAGAGACCCTGCAGCCACCACTAATGTGACAGCCCAAAGCCAGCACATGCTCCTCCATGGCCCTCTTTCTGCAGATTCTGCCAGCAAATATCCTGCATTATGGATGCTGAGGTGCAAGGCTGCAGTGTGTGGAGCCAGAATTTAAAGGGAGACTCTGGAACTGGAAATTCATAGTTCACGCTATCATTTTGACAGTCTTTCTCCCTGAAACACAATCTTTTTGTGTTTTCTCTTTTTCTTTTCCAAAGCAGCAACAAAATATTAGGACAAGGTGCTTACACAAGGCAGGGCAGGTGGACAGTAAAAGCACTCGTTTTATCTTTTTTCCTGGATCTTGGAAGAATAGAGCTGCTCCTGCACATCATTCCAATGAAACAATGACAAATGCTGTGATAAAGCCTGAGATCCTTACACAGAGATTTAGGACAAGCACTTCAAAAAACTGAGAGGTGCAGGGAGAGGAGCCCACCACCCCCAGGACCCCACCTGCTGCGAGGGGCTGTGTGAGTGCCAAGGGGTGTAACTGCCTGGAGGGTGGGCGTGTGTGTGATGACTGTGGAGGTCTCTGGGCTTCCACTCTTGTGGAAAAAGCTCATCAGCAGAGAGCCCTTGTGCATCCTCTGTGCTTAAACTGGCCCTGGAGCTTGGGCTGCTCCTGGCATCTTACAACCCACGTGGGACATGAGTTCCCCCACTCATGTCATCCCACTCATGTTCACCCCAGGACATCAGGAGCAACCCTAGAGCAGCGACCAGGCCACTGTTTTCAACAGCTTCTCAATAATTCATGCTGAGAAAAAGGCAAGTCACGTTTATCACTGAGTCAGGTGAATTAAACATTCACATATATTTGCTGAAAAAAATTATATACATCTGTAGCAAGGCTCTCCCAAGTCTGAAAGATAAGCATCATCTAGTCACTAAATTAAAAAAATAAAAATCTGACTTTTAAATCTTTTTCTTTTTATCCATGTTCAAGAGCACAGACAGTTTATTTTGTTAGCACATTTGGTGAAGGATGTATGTGTGTGAATAGCCATGAAAACCGGAGAAAATTTGGCGTTTGTTTGGGATATGATGGAAAAGAAGAAGCAGCCACTTAATGCCTTACAGTCTAAATAATCCACAGAGTATATCGGGTTGCAAAAGGGTCACAAAGTAGCAAAGAGAAGCCTAAACACCCGGAGACGTAGCATACATGTCAGCTAAGGAAGAACAAGGTATAGAGCATGCTGGCTTATTAAATAAATTTCATTTTAAACCCTGTTCCTTATGCATGTAACCCTGGAAAAACCATCCCATAACAAGAAATGGACTCGGAAGAGATTTCTGTATCCATTCACAGTAAGGCTTTGAAGATATATGAAGTTTTATAGCATTTGTATTTTAAGGATTTAGGGCAAGTACATGTTCTTCCACTGAATAAAAACAAAGTTAGTACTTAAAAGGTTCAAAAATATATCAATCGTGACTTTTTTTTTTTACATAAATAAATTATATTGATTTTGGATTTAACAGCTGAAAAAACCCTTTCTGCTTCCACTGGAGGCAAAAACTGAACAAAATGTTAGTTAAATAGAGATAGCAGCATTTCTAAGAAATCTGTTGATAGTGATACAGTATCTATGCTACAAGAATGTTATTAAATAGAACACAATTATTGGGGGGGAGGAGGATTGCATTATGATTGGCTACATACTTAAAAAAAAATCATCCAATCCAGTAAACTGGGAATAAATTCTGTGAAAATATAAACCAACTGTGTTTTTGACCACGGGTAACAGACTTCTTTGAGATGCTAATTTTAACATGTACATAATTTATAATCCCAAATGTATAAAAGACAATGACAAAAAGCATCATAAATAAATAATGCAAACTGAAATAGTTATGTCAAAACATTTGGACCATCTGATAAATTAGCAAAAACTGCAACAGAAAAAAAAAAGTAAAAAATACAGTAAATTGTGACAACCAAGTGTGAAACTGATGAATAGCACACTCCAACTCCCTCCCAGCCTGCCCTTCGCTCACAGCTGCACCACTGTGGCTTTATTCAATTCTCAGACCATGAGCTGCAAGTAAGAACAACCCCAAGTGAAAGAAGAATTAAAGGAGTGAGGGGAAGGAGAAATCAGAAGAGTTGCCTGTGGAGGAGTCTCAGTACCCAGAGCTGGAGCAGGGGGCTGGCAGCATTAAAACCCATCCATTTGAAATGCAGATGCTGAAATCATTTGGAGGACTGGAAATACTGTTCAACAGCAATCGGAATGGGAAGAAGCCAAAGTCATCTCTTCACAGTCCACCACTAGAAGGTAAGAAATTCAGGCTCTGAAAGTCTCAAGGGTCCTTCTCAGAGGACACCCCAAGGAGGGAAGCTGGCCTACAGCCTTCTCCGTGTTTGCTGAAAGAACATCACTTCTGGGGTAAGGAGTGGGAAATATAAAAACTCAGAAAGCCTCAGTGTTCATATAAGAGCATTAAAGTCAGTATGGTCTGTTCATGGCTGGAAAAAAAATACCTTTAGAGCACCTATAATGCCATAGCTGAGAACTAACGCCAGAGAGGGGAACTGAAGACAAGCAGAATGATGAAGGAACTGGTTGCTACAGATACAGTAACCCCAGAAAAGTCATGCAAGTGTGCAAAACCCTTCCAGCTCAAGCTGGAAAGTCTTGTAACTACCAAGGAAAGGGCAACTAAACTCCACATAACATAAAACCAAACATTGGTTTTAAAAAATACAAAAGAATGTCTACATCGTTTTTCACTCTGCAGTTTGTCTCCAAACCTTTGAGGTGGGGGTGATCAAGAAATTATATCACTACCAGTTATGCGTTTCCTTTCAAAAAAAATGAATATATGCATTTTCAGTCATTAGTTATATACTTCTGTCTATACTACTATTCTAGTAACCATGATAAAATAGGGAAATACTTTAAATCAAAAATACACATTAGCACTTACTACAGCTGTGCTTTTAGCCCAAATATAGGCTTTTTCGTTCAGTATCGCTGTAGACAGAAATACCCTTGTCTGTGTGTTAGACCAAGAGATAAACACTTTTGCTCTTGTTTTTTTGCTGCTTTTTCTTCTCAAAGGAGTGAGCAATTTGCAGGGGGTGACCAAGTACTGGATTTGCTATTGTTGGCTGGGATGATCGACTGGAAAAACAGAATGAGAATTCGGTGCCTCCCATACTAGCTAGACAACACTGTTTATCTAATAAAGTGGCAAGACCCTGCAACTATTAACATGTAGTATGTCACCAGTTTTTTCCGACAGGGAATTAGGTAGATAATATTACTCATGGAAACACAGGTTTATGAAGGTGGAGTGGGGTGGGAGGGGAAGTAACAAAGAGTTTATGGGATAAGAAACTCACAAGCCACAATCTTTTTCTGTTTTTCTTTCAATGAAACAAAAGTTCTAATCGGTATTGTGAGCTGCTTGGCGCTCCTTCTCTGCTGGTCCGTCCTGCTCCTTCTCTGCCACCGCTGGTGGGCTCTGCTCCACACAGTTTTGACTGTTTGCATCTTCTTTTTCCGGCAGTGAGACAGTTTCTGGCTCTGGATTTGCCAATTCCCCTTTCGCTTTCTTCCTCTTCCGCTTCTGGCTCTCCAGGTTCACCACCTCTGAGTGCCTGGTTTGCTGGATGCCAGGCAGCGCCATGCCGATGCCAGGGGAAAGGAACATGGAGGGATAGATCAGTCCAGGAGACATCCCTGGGATAAGAAATGGGTTAAAAGCTACAGGACTACTGGTAGTTATTGCGGATTCTGTCTGATTAGAAAATGAACTAGGACCAGGCTTATCTTCGGCGAGAGGTTCTTTTTTCCCATCCTGGCTGCCCTGTTTCTCCTCGTTGGCCTTCTCGGCGCTGGCTGTGCCACCTTTCGTTGTGCTTGTTAACGAAGTCGGAGCAGTTGCGGTGCAAGTCGTTGTCATCGGGGAGTTGAGGAGTCCTCCCACACCGAACATCTGGGGTACGGTCGCCATGCCCGGCAGCATCATGGGCAACATGCTCAGGGTGCTCTTCACATCCTCACCAGCGGGCACTGCTGCAAAGCCAGCAGGAAACCCGACCAGCCCGGTCAGAGGGATCCCTTGCATATTTCTCATGTTCTGAAGTCCCACTAGATCCATCCCAGCAATTAGTCCGTTCATGAACAATGGTCCCATTCCAGAAGAAGAATCTGCTACAACACCAGGGCCTTTAAGGAGTTCACTCCGGGGCCTCCTCCCTCTCCGTCGTGGCCCAGCGTCCCGGAGCACAGGCTCGGTGAGGATGCGATTGAATTTGTTTTCGGGTAAGTAGCCCTGAAAATGAGACATAACAGAGAACACCCGACAGTTACTACTGCAGCAAAGGGAATCTGGCTTGTCTGTGCCCACATCTGCGTCCCAGATGGTGTTGGCACAGAAATATTTGCCTACATGATATGGAATTTGAGAGGTATACACAACTTTTCCCCAAGGGATGCTGCCAAATGCAAAACACCCTTGCTCTGCCCTGGCAGGATCCTGTACTCTCAAATGCTCAGGGAGGGGAGGAGGAAGCATGTTTTCACCCTGTTTTTCACCCTGGCCCTCAGCACCAGCTGCTCACAGCACAAGAAGAGCCAGGGCAGCGTGGTGTCAGCTGCCCACTCAGCTCCCTGCCCAGCCCTATTTGTGCCTCCAGCATCAGGTGAAAAATCTTGAGATGGGAAGGGCCAAATTTTCCCTGCTCTGCAGGACAGCAAAGCTCATGGGATGACACAAGAGAGTGGGCATGCTGTCTGTGGAGTTCTTGGCCAGAGCTTCACAGAGATGCCAGGGAGCATTCAGAAAGCTCTTCTAACAGAAGAGACATGGGACCAAAACCCAGCAGCCAGAAGTGGGCGAGACCATCTGGTTACACAGAGCAGTGCGGGGGGATCCACAGCACAGCTTAACATTCCGTTTTTCAGCATCCTCAACACAGACATTTAAACATTTCCCTTCGTAGTTTCCTTGGATTTCAGTATCACCACACTTTGAACCATTTTGAATAATAAATTTAGGTAGGAAAAGTATTTCCTGTTGACACCTGTAGTGCAGAAATGTGAATTAGATGTGCCTGGCAGTCTGCTCAGCACAGCACCTGCCCAAGGAGGGACAAGCTTCTGGAAGCATCTCCCACTGGCATGTGGGAGAAGCTACATGGGCCCATGACTGCCCCCAGGCTCTGTGGGGCATCCAGCCCCAGCTCCCGCTGGCCTGAGAGCTTGGAGCAGCCAGCCATCCTTCTGCATCTCTCCCCTACCAGGACAGGTATGCATTCGCCAAAAGCTCAGCGTCCGTGGGGTGGGAATGATCACAGGATGCAGCCACTGGAGCAGGGCACAGGAGAGGTGCCCAGGCAGTGCCAGGCACACAGTGGTTTCTGTGGCAAAGAGACAAAGATTCCCTCAAATCAAGGGAAGGAAGAGCTGTCAGCTCGCCTGGGACTGGCTGCCTGGATGGGGCCCTGATGCCAGCCTGGACACGGAGCTGTTTCCTGGGCAGGGGGACAGACCATGCCAAATCTCCAGCACTAAGGAAAAACCAATCTGAGAGCAGTACAAACCTCTAAGCCAAAGGATTCACCCACCAGCCCTCTGCAAGGGTGTCATACAAACCACTGCAGCCCAAAACCAGGCACGGAGAGGGACTGTAGGGAGAAGTGTGGATCAGGCCAGCCCACATGGCAGGGCAAGGTGATCTGGCAGTGCCATGTGTGTCGGAGAGGAAAGTACTCCTTTTCCACAGGCTCTGCCACACACCAGGGCAGGGACTGGTGGATGGACAGGGTGGATGAATCTGGCACAGGAGGCTCCATCCTGCCCCTCTCCATACCTGTGCCTGACTCTTCAGGCCTGGTGACCTGTGGGACCTTTGGTGGGCCTGCAGCTGTGCAGGCAGAGCTCACAGGAGCTGATGAAAAGCATGAACTAGAGGTGTTTTTGAAAATTTGACCCATAAGAAAGTTTTGTCCACACCCTGCCATCCAGCTCCTAGGGCATTCCTCTTGCCCCTGCTACCCTAAGCATCCCAAGGCTCTCCAGCCAGGCAGGCTGAGCCCCGCTCCCAGAGTGCTTACCCCTCTCTCTGTGGCCTGGCCACAGGGCTGGTGGTGGCACAGCCCAACCTCCCGCTTTGCCCCAGGGCTGCAGCCATCCCCTCCCACATGCCCAGCCCAGGGCCTGCCTCACAGCTCCCAGATCCTCACTGGAGAAAGGTTGTGGGGATGGGGAGGGAAAAAGAAAAGATGACATGATACAGATTTCTCCGAAAGCTCTAACTTACTGAAAGCTTAACAATGTCAGCCCAGTCAGCTGCAACAGCATACTCCAAGTTTGCATCAAGCCACCTTGGCAATTCCTTCAATGCTGGTGCCGTGGCTCCCCCTAACTATAAAACACAGCAGAAGGATGACCTCTATTGCAGAGAGAGTTATGTAAAATAATACAAAAAATATGATTACACTTCCCCTAGCTTCTTGCTTTGGACTGCAGTTTGTCTGGAGTGGAGACTCTTGCCTTGCTACACTTGCCCTTCTGCAGGATTTGGTGTGTGCCTGCTGCCTCCAGACACACAGCTCAGGGAGAAAAGGCAGGTTCAGCCTCTGTGGCCCAGCCCATTGCCCTCCCAGGTGCCAGTGATGGGGACAGAGCTTCTGTAAAAGCCATACTTAGAACTGGCAAAGTCCCCAGCCCACGCAGGAAAGGCCAGCATGGGGGAAACAAAGGGGAACACAGATGTGGCTGAAACAACTTTTCTGCCTCACCCTCTAGTTTTGTTTTTAGATATAATTAATGTCACATCACCTTCTGACCTTGTAAAGTTCTGTGTGTGTTTAAGAACTAAATTTTGGTGCAAAATACTCATGAATACCCCTTCTTGTTCAGAGAGGTGAACAAGTGCCCTGGAGATTAAACTGCAGACAAGTAACTCCAAGCTCCTTGCTCAGAAAGCAAGAATAAGCTGTTCCAACCCTTGACTTTCTACAAGCCCAGCAGTGAGATGGGTATTGGTGTGCTCTGGCCTGTACCTCATAAGGAGGAACTAACCAAAGGCATTTGCATGACAATGTTACAATTTGTGGCATATTGCAATGAACTCAAGGGGAACAATCAAATCCAGGATGGGAAGCACATGATAGGGCTGTGCTGAGGGTGGCTTTAAAGCCAAAGGCTGTATCCCATTGCCACTGAGGGGTCTGTGCCCCCTGGCAAGGGACGACACTCCCACATCCCTTACTTCACACAGTCACTTATTTCATAGGTCTGCATGTTCCTGGGCACACATGTGTCACAGGATAATGTAGATTGGAGACCTATTCCAGACTTTCGTCTCATCCATAGGCTTCTCTGGATTAAATCTCTCCCACAGGTGAGCTCAAGGTCTGCTAAGCATTTTGGGACACTTTTGGCAGAGCACAGAACAGGCCTTCGCTTACCCGCCGTCCGGTACCCTTATGTACCACCGGCACCCGCTCCTCTCCCGTCAGAGAGCTAATGTCCAGTTTGTTGGGGTCCTTGCAGCGCTGCCTCCTCTGCTTGGGCTTGTCTGAAAAATTCTGGAGTGCAAACAAGACAATGTTAATGAGACTAGATGGCTTAATGAGCCTGGCTGGCTACAAGCCCTGCAGGAGAGCAGCATGGATGGGCTCCCAAGGGACAGGGAATCCCTGCAGGCTGGACCAGGAGCAGCACCAGCAGCACAAACTGGCCCCTGCCACAGGACCAGCTCTCAAATGTCCAAAATTTATTTTTGTAGATAGAAAGGGGTCTCCAGTGTACCCCACTTAGAGTGCTCTAGCCCCTTCTAACTCCCCTCCACTCCTGATGTTGCGGGTTCTTATAAATGCATCTGTGAACAGGACACTGCACACAGCCAGTAAAGAGAGAACAGGTCTGTGTGTGCCACCTGTGTCATTCTCACACAGCCACCTGCTTCTCACCAGCTCAGCTCTGCTGTGTTTCCTTTCTCTTTTAGCTGTTTTCACCACATGCTGCACCATGTTTCTTTGGGATCAGAGCCCTCTGGAACTGCAACCTACAGAGTAACAGCCAAGTCACTGCACACCCACTGCACACACCAAGCCCCACTGTTGATGTGCCCGCAGGGATGGAGCATTATAATGAACAATTCGGACAGCGCAAACTCCTGGGAGTCAGAAAAAGACCCTAAGTGCAGTTCATCCTTTGAACTGAGCTACTGCAGTACCCCAAAGCCTCTCTCAATCCATCCTACTTGGAGAGAAGAGATACTGCAGGGCTGGCCTGAGGCTTGCTGGGAGTAAGAGCTTCATCAGAGGCATGGTCAGACTGGGCAAGCTTCGGTACCTTCCTGGAACGCAAGGGTGTTGGGAAGGAGTGGGAAGGCACCTCCACACCTGCTCCTGCGAGTCTGGCCCTGGGCATACAGCTGGATGTGTCTCTGGACTTTGAAAAGCAAAGGCCATCCTGCTGAGCAAATGTTGGGGTCCTCACCTCTCATCTCTAGCAAGCTTCAAACCGCTAATGTCTTGCCTGTACTCCAAGCTTCAGGAATCTCCGCCTCAGGCACATGATCCTCCAGGACCAAGATGCTGTCTTTTCCGTTTTACCACCACATTTCTTCCTGCTCTGTTTCATGGCCTGTGCTCTGCCTACCACATGGTCTAACAGGCTAAATAAGCTGAAACCTGTAGCAAACCAACCTGTGAAACCAAGAGGTGGAGGTTTATGAGACAGCAGGAAGAATCAGACAGACTGCGCACCTCACTCTGAGCCACTGCTTTCTGAGAGCATCCACGGCCACATGGCCATAGCCTGTCAGCCTGCAACACAACCTCTTGGTCTGGCTCTTAGAGACAGCAGGTTTCCTCTTGCCTGGAAACCTTATTTAGTACAAGAGCACTGCCTAAAATGACTCCATGTGAAAAAGAACAACATAGACAGACCTTGAGCACCTCAAATTAATTTTCTCATTTCTGTCCCCATCCATCCCTGCCACTTCTGGAAGACATTGTGCATTGGGCAGATGGATATATTGCAGCTGAAGAACTGATCTTGGGCAACAGAGCTCAGCTCCTGAAGGATGCCAGACAGGTCCATTCCCAGGGAGCCCTGAGGGTATTGACAGTACACTGTCCAGGGCATGTTTGTGTTCTGGGGAAAGGAGTTCTCCAGCAGCAAATGCTTTTTGTTGCTGTACAGGGGAACAGTGCTCGCCTCTTAAACATGTCATGAATCCCTGAATAGCCCCAATGAACACCACAAACCATGTTACAAGAAAAAACCCAACACAAAGGGCAACACACAAGGCAGGTACACACACACACAGACACACACACACACAGACACACACACACACTCACACGCCACTGAAGGCCACCCTTACTGTGCCAAAGCTGGGAACATCGAGTGTGTAGTCAGACTGCTGCCGGAGCCAGTCAAGGAGACTCTTATTCGGGACAGCCTTCTCTTGGCTGCCTGCAGCTGGGACTGGCTGTGGAGTTGAGGTAGCAGCAACCGACCCATCAGGGAGGGGACTGTTCTGAGGGGGCTGCGGCTGGTCATCCTGAACATCCTGCCGTGGAAGGAGAAGCAGGGAGAGCTCATCAGCAGCATGCAATGATGCATGTGCACCCTGAGAAGCACAGCTCCCAGAGCAGGTCATCTGCTACCATCACACAGACTAATCCACATACTCCCAGTGCCTCTTCCTTAAATCACCACCCACCACCACATTACGTTTCCACTCCATCCCCAGCACTGGTGGTCAGAGGGCAGAGAGCTGGGAGATGCTTCTGAACTCACAAGGAAACACTCTAATCACCAGGAAGATCAACTTCCGCTCAGATCACTCCTAAAAGTGGTCTAGGGGCACTGGTCTTACTCCATTTTTTGCGTGGTTCCAGAAGGAGAAAGGATGCAGTAGGATCTTGTCTTCCTCATCTTCCCAGAACTTAAACATTCCCCGAGGTAGGATAGTTGCTTTTGATAATGCTAAGAAGTATTCAAACACTCTGGAGCGCTGTAAACCAGAGGGATAACCTCCCTTCCTCCCTGCAGCATCTACTCCTGCCTGGTCCTGCACAAACCAAGCTGTCCTGGAGGAAGCTGCGCAGTGTCATGGGCAGCAGAGCTTGGAGGCGAGAGCTGGGCCATGAAACAAACTCTGCTGACTCCACTGGGTTCATGTGAAAGGGGGGAGCATCAACCCACCTGCAGCCTGTTTGGAAGAGTCCTCTCCTTCAAGAAGATGAGGTCCATCCCTTCGACATTTTTCCTCCTGCCCCGTCTCCTCCTCATGGCAGCATCATCTCTTCGGAGGCTGCCGTTTACAATCTGTCCAGTGACAGGATGGATTAACCCTGCCTGTAGGATGCCAGACAAGTCCATGCCCAGGGAGCTCTGGAGCGCGCTCATGGTCCCCAGTTTGGGCATGTTTGTGTTCAGGGGGAAAGGAGAGGAGTTCCCCTGGGACCCATCAGAGGCTCTGGACAAGTCCACCGCTGCCTCGCGCCAGCCATTCAGCACAATGGGTGGATGGACATGGGCTGCTGCCAGCTGCTCCAGGCTCCTCTGTTTGGCATCTCTCTCCATCTCGAATTCATAGGGTCTCCTGTGCTTCCGCTCGTCTTTTACAAAGGCAGGGCTCAGGAAACCTTCCTGTGTGTACCAAAGCCACAGAGGGTTACGGCTGTTCCTGCCCTGCCCAGGGACCACAGCTCCTCACACCAGCACTGAGCTAATGGTCATCCCTGCCTCTCCAAGGAGCCCTGAGGGATGTCAATTCCCTGGGCATATCACAACTCTTTTCCCATGCAGGGATGGTGCAGGAGCACCTTGCACACACTCAGATACCCAAAAGTGTTATAACCATGGCTGCACTGCCAGCTGCTGGGGCCCCAGGTCACCAGCTGCTGTCTGTCCAGTGTGACTGTTGGGGACCAGGGCACTGGGACTTGACAGAGCAGCCTTGCACCCCTTCCTTTGGGATACCAGTGGGATGTCCCCTTTGACCATGTCAGGCTGACTCTGGAAGCAGCTCTAAAGCTGCAGAAGCTGTGGAGCTGCCAACAACAGCTGTGTTCCAAGGAGCCTTCAGTAGGGTGACCACAGCACGGGGTGCACACCAGGAGCTATCACCAGGGGACCAAGTGGCTTAAGCCATGTGTCATACACCCCAACTGGCACCAAGGGGCCCCACTTGGGGAACTCCTGAGTACTTCTGGGCAATGTGTCACCCCAGAGTCCTGAGCCTGTCACTGCCCGAGGGCCCCCCTCACCTTTTGTACCCGTGACATTAAGACTCCGCTATTGAAGCTGGGATCGGGGCTCTCTGACTCGGTAAAGCTGCTCCTGCTGCCGGTGTTGCTGGCCATGGCTGGGGTTGTCAGCAGGTTCTGTGCCTCAAACTGCTGGCTGGAGGAAGGCCACTTGCCCTTCAGGATGGCATGGCAGATGTTGTCAATGCGGTTGATGATCACACGGTCCTACAAACAGAATTGGACAGCGGCAAGCTAAAACTGGAACGCCTGACCCGTGTATGACAGCTCAGGATTAAAATCAAGCCCAGCCCAGGTGATCTCAGCTCAGCAGTGAACTGCTCTGGGGACATCTCCACAGCACAGGTGCTTGGGAAGAGTACATTGGCCAGAGCATCCAATGCAGGTGCAGAAGACCAAAGGCAGAGCTGGAGCTGTGTGAACCACTGCTGGCAGGGCTACCCAAGAACACTTCAATACAAGCTGTGTTCCTTTTAACCTCACCTTAGGCCACTCAGAGAAGGAGTAAAGCGTCTTCTCCTGCAGCAGCTGGGCAATGGTCGGTGCCCGGGCATCCTGAAGATCATCAATCTCCCCAGGCAGGACAGAAGCAGAATTCTTGTTCTCTTCCTCCAAGTACTTCTCTGGACCATCTAAAAAAGCAAGGGAGAATAGAGCCCACCACCACCCTGCCTTTCTCCCTGTCTAGAGGTGGGGATCATCGCCTCACACATGCCCACCCCAATGCCCAGCTGGCTCCACAAAGGTCCCAAACAGTCCCCAAGAGTCTCCAACAGAAGCAGCAGACTTGGATCAGGGCAGGCAGCCCAAGTTGCTCAGTGAGGACCATCACTCCCCTGAGGTGAGTTTGGAGGGCTTGAATTGGAGTAGACCTCCATCCCTGACCATTCCCAGATGGGGAGAAGGAGGGCATATGCTATTCCACTGCTCAACAGGCAGTGCCCTATGCCAGAAACAGAAAGGCATCCTGCATTCTATGGCATGCTCTTAGCAGAAGGGCTGCTGGGGCTCAGGGTGGAGAGTTCTGGCAGCTCCAGTGGCAAATGCAGCCCCCAACAACTTTTGCTCCCTGCTGCAGCAGCTAAAAGGACCTCAGCTCCTACAGATGGGAGGCCACTCCATGGGCTGGCCAGCTCCAAGGTTTGGCTCTGCAGGGAAGAGAGGAGGTCCCTCCCACCATAGCCAGAGGTGACTGTCAACCTGAGGGAGCTCTCAGGACCATACCTTGGCTCTGGTTACTGCTGGCTTTCTCCTCATCATCTCTGTTCTCACACTCTTCTTGCTTTATGCCCTGAGGCTCAGGGTGTGGGGTCTCTGTGCAGCCTGTCTGCTCCTCAGCATCTTGGCTGAAGGGCTCCCCCATGACACAAGGGGGCTCTGCCCTCCGAGGTTCCCCCTGAAGCAGAGGTGTGGGTAGGCTGAAGGGCTGGCTCTGAGCCTGGCCTGGTGAGTGCTGCTGGGTGCTCTCCTCATTCAAACCACAGTCCTCCCTGCCCTCTGCCCTGGGAGACTCCCTCTCGCCATTTACGTCTTCTGGGCAAGTGTCCTCAGGTGTAGGGAGACCAGAGCTCTGCTCCTCACCCCCCAGTTCATGAGCCTCTGGGTCACAATCAGCCCTGGTCCTGGGACCATTCAAGCCTTCCACAGCATCTGCTGCTGCCTCAGAGTTATCATCATCCTCTTCGTCCTCCTCATCTTCCTCACTGTGGCTCTGACTTGGCCCCAACTTTGCCTCCAGTCCTTTCTCCTGCAGCAGACTGATGAACCTCTGCTCAGGAGGAACCTTCAGTTCATAGTTATGGAGACTGGGACTGTAGAGCCCCACACTTAGGACCCTTTCCATGGTGTCGTGCTCGGGCAGCCCTGCTGACGGGCTGGCAAGTGCTCCTTTCTGTTCCAAGCCTTTGCTGAGCTTGGCTGGGGCACTCTGTGAAGGATTGCTCTCGGGGGTAGAAGGTGAAGCCTCAGCTTCCTCATTCTGATTGTCCATTCGGTCAGAGCCCACCTGCAAGCCCTCAAGGAAGGGAGCCTCTCTCACAGCATCTGCATCACAGCTGGATGGATCCTCATCCCCCTCCAGCTTGCCCTCAGAGAGTTTGGCAACGCTGCTTCCGACATCTGTGCAGCTTGGGCTGTCCCTGGCGAGGGAGCTCTGCTCACTGGGACAGGCTTTCTCATCATACATCATGCACACCAGCGAGTCCGGCAGCGAGCTCTCGTCATAGTTACTGGAAATGATGTCCCGGACCTCAGACATGAACGTTTCACAGTTTGTGTCCAGTGGGCTGCCTCCAGCCTGGGACATGGTGCTGTCCACAGTTTCTAGCTTGATGTGACTCTCGGCTTCATTCTCCAGGGTTTCACAGGTCTGGTCCATCTGGCTGTACACAGGGGAACCGTAGAGTTCGGAGTTGGACTGGTAAAGGCAGCAGAGAGTTTCTGGGCCTGGGAGCCCTGTTCTTTTATGCTGGGCATAGTTTCTGTACGCGTCTAAAAAAGACAGCTGGGGGTCATTCATGATGTAGTAATCGGTGCGGTTCAGGCCGTGCTTGGCGGTGCCGATCAGCAGGTCCCGGTCGTGTTTGCCACACTCCCACCACACGGGCAGGTAGAGGCTGGGCCGGCACAGCTTGAGGCGCTCGTGGAGCTGGGGGCACTTGAGCACCTGCTCGCGCACCTTCCGCAACAGCTCAATGCGGTACAGGGTCCTGGCAGCACGCTCTTCCGTGATGGGCTCCACGTAGATGTCAGGGTCTGGAGGACCTACAGCAGGGACAGCAAAGCCAAGGACACATTACTTCGGTTGGCAGGAGTTCCTCAGAGGCAGTGACAAGCAAGCTGAGTTTGCTCATACTGCAGGTGAGATGGGGCCAGTGCTTGAGGCCACTGTTGAGGCCTCTTTTTCCAGCCTCAGTACCTTCCAGTCATATCCCACCAGGTGGACATAGGGAGTAAAACCCCTTGACTTGAGCAGCTGTATCAAGAGCAGCACCAGCTGCAGAGGATTTCAGAGTCTTGTTTGAGCTCTGCTCCATCATCAGCACTGGAGCTGCCTGAGCCTGCAGACGGAACGGCACCTGGCACTTTGAGCCTTCAGCCCAATGTTAGGGAAGGACAGCTCATGCAGCTCGTTTGATGAGGAACACCTACCTAAGGCACAACATACATGCAACTGTGCCTAAGACCTGACTCCATGACAGATCTGAGGAAAAATGTTTTCTACTGTTATTGAAAACAAATTGTTTTGTGCCTCAATAGACTCTGAGGAGCTTTTCATCTGTCACGTCCTGTCTGGCACCAATGCAGGACCTCTGCAGAGCACTCAAAGAAAATGGATGCCCTGTGTGTTGGCCAGGCTTCCTGAGCCTCCTGCAGTGGATCCAGGCTCTATTTACCATGCAGCAGAGCTCCACAGTCAGCACAGGCATAGATGGAGTGGACTCTGTGCAATGGTCAGCAGAGGGATGCTCAGAGAGCAGCAATACAGCTCACCAACAACCCCCAACTCCAGCACACAGCTGTGCTTTATGTGTGCTGCTTCTCTACTTGTTTCTCACATATAGAAGTTGCTGTCTTAGATAAAACTGGCTATGATTTCCTGTGAGAACTCCAAGAGATTTGTGAGAGCAGGGGCAGAAGGCACTATGTGGTGGGGACAAGGCAACCAGAAATGCAGGACTGCTGCAAGCCCATGGCCTGCCTGGCATTTCACTGCTTGCAACTGTCTCTGAAACTCTTCCCTTGCTCTCCTGCTCCACAAGAGCAGTGGGATCCCTTCTACATGACCTAGCATTACCCCTCCATAGGCCATGCAATTTCCACTCACCATCCTCTTTCCACAAAGGGAGACCACAGACATTCTTGCACATGGCCACAAAGCTGTAGAAGTACTTCTCCAGGCTCTCATCCGTCTTCTTCTCCAGACGAGAGATGGCTCGGAACTGGGCCCAGTCAAAGATTTTTTTCTCTTGGTCATAGATAACCCCAAAGGAGGAGACAGTGCGGTAGAAATCTGCCTGCTCCCTCCTGGTCCACCTGTGGAGCAGGGAGAAGACAGGAATACCACTGAGACATGTTGTGGGCCCAGAACAGGCTAAAGTGCCAGGCAGAGAGGTTCGGAGAGCACTGTCCAGTTACTAACCAACAATTTTGAGGGAGGTGTCAGGGGGAGCACACTGGGGAGACCACCACAGCCCAAGACACACAGGGAGGAGGAGCAGCCTCTGGCTCTCGACTCATCGCTGAAAAAACCGTCTTGGCTGTTTCAATAAACCCCTGAGTGCAGCTCTGGGCTGTGCTGCCAAGAGGGCACAGTTTCTGTGCAGTTTCCAGCAGTTTCTGTGGAGGCACAAACCTATCCCATCTACTTCCTTCCTGCCACATCAAGCTGTTTCACTTCCATGGGAAGGTCAGTCCTCTGTACCAGGAATTACAAAGGAAGGATATGGAGACACAGTTCTCATCCAGCCTCTTCCAGAGAGAAACTGAGACTGGGGCTTGCTGCTGTAGGGGTCCCAGTAACAAACACCACCCACCTTACTGACTCCTGTGGACTCCTGGATGCCACCCCCTCCCCACCAGAGGAGAGCAGCAGTGGTGATGGAGGGGTTCAGTTACACCACTCTTAGAACACAACTTTCATGCTGGCTTGGACCCTCTGAGCTTTCACCTTGTGGGGACCACTCATAGGACAGAGATAGTGAAGTGTCCTGGGCAAATACAGCCCCAAGCAGTGCCCAAAGAAACAGCCACACAGAATAGACCTGGCTGCACACAGCAGGGCAAGGGCAGAAAAAGGGGAGCACTGAGGCCTGAAAAAAGGCTTCCAGTCAAATCTCAGCCTCTAAATTGCAGCTCTGAGCCAGCACCAACCAGCAAGCAGCTGAGACATGTCAAAGGAAAGTAGACAGGGTGACAACACTCACAGCACTCTACAACTGCCCAAAATACACCTGAGCCAGCATTGTCACCTCTGATCCCAGGGGCTGCAGTCATGTTTAATTTCAAAAATGGGAACAATAAGAAACTTAATAAATATATTAATGATCCAAATCAAGGAGCTCAATGGTGAATTTGTCAAAAGGCCTCAGATTAAAGGCTAGTGGAAAACTCCTTGTAAGGTAATTCCTCCCTACAAAAAGCCCAGATAATTAAGGAGCAGGAGATATCAGGCTGCTGTGATGCCCACAGCACAACCATTGATGCCCCCACCTCAAAGGGGATGGTATGACTGGAAGAAGTCCAGGAAAAGAGGAATGGGAAGATGGGCTGGAGCAGAAGGAGGCCAAGAACAGAGCACAAGGCAGCACACATACCATGTGGTTATGTGGGGTCCTGCTTCAGGTTCACTGGAAGCAAAACCATTGAGGGCTGGTGACCACAGAGAGTCCCAGGCCCAAGGTGGCATGGGAGACTGGCAGTGACGGCAGCAGCATCACCCTCTACACACCCTCCCAATGGCTGCAGAGAGACACTCAGGGTGCTGGGACAGTCCCAACCCCTTCCCACCTACTGGGACACAGATGAAATGGGAGCACAGTGCAACCAGGATATGTCACCATGGGGCTCCAGAGGCCATGAGCAGGAGGCAAAGCCAGTGGTGTGAGAGCCACAAGGGTTGGAAGGGCACTACTCATGGGCTGTGACAGTGATCATCTGTCACTCTCATCCACAGTATATCCCAAGGACACAGCTCTCCTCTGCTGAGGCTGACCCCTGGCCCAGCAGACACTGGATTTGACCCTGAAGAGCTGTGCCCCCCTGTTTTCAGTGTCACCACCTGCTACCCATGAACTCCAGCTTGCAGTGGAAGCTGCTCCCTGGCTGGGCTGGCTGCTGGAGCAGCAAGACCCCCATGGCTCAGAGCATGTTCCCTGCCCTGCAAGGACCCATGTGATTCCATGCCCTGGGCAGCTGGCAGCACTGACAGCTCTGATGACATTTACCTGGGTCAGCTTTGGGGGCCAAGGAATTCAAGTGGGCTAAATCAGATTTGTAAAGGCTCCTCTGCTGCATTACCTTTTCTGTATTTCTTTGTTCACTGAGTCCATCTCAGAGGCTCTCCGGAACATCTCATCCTGCAGCCAGTAGCCATGGTTACCAGGCACCAGCATCTCCGTGCGGGGAGGCACCTCCTTACGGTTGCAGCGCTGGTAGACGGTGACGAGTCGCCGCAGTCTGGCCGTGAGAGCAGAGGAGACAGGCCAGCAGGATCTGTCTGAGTCGGAGCCATCCTGGGCTTCAAACATCAGCAAGAACATTACTATTTAGCACACAGGCAAAGCCACAGGTTCCCACATCCTCTGGCAAGCTCCAAGAGCTTCCTCCCACCTTCTGCCTCCCATGGGGAGCATTGGCGATCACAGTCATGAGTAGGGGGCCATGTGACCATCCCTGAGCCTGCTGGCTCACAGCCTCACCACGTCTTAGGTTCCTTCAGAGAGAGTCCAGAGGCTGAGATCAGGGTAGGAATGATGGCTCCAGGCCAGACCATGCATGGGAGAAGGCTGCAGCTCCCAGCTCAGCAGTGGGGCTAGCCAGCCCATGGCATGTGGCAACACTGCCCACTGCGTAGACCTCACACGCTCAACTCATACAGGCAACTGCATGGATAAGAGCAGGCTAATGGCTTCCAGTCACCCTGGGTAGCTTTGGCTGGAATCACTCAGGACCCTGGCTGCCCTACCACAGGGCCCATCCATGGGTCACCTGTGAGTCTGTGCAGGGAGGGCCCCTGGCCAGGTTGAGCTGCCTCACACACTAACACAGAGGAGCATGTCCCTCCAGCCCAGCAATGTGTTCCTGCCACCAAGCAGTGCCTGGGGCAGCACTCAGATTCAGCTGTGCCACACCCAACCCAGGGAAGCCATGGACCACACTGCAGGAGACATGGCCTCACCTGCCGCTGGTTCGTCCCGCTTCTCACTGGCTTCACCCACCCCAGAAGCCACGATGTCCTGCAAAAGCAAACGATCAGAGAGGGCTCAACCCCACACAGAACCCCCTGTGCCCACAGCCCACCCATCCTTGGCAGGGTGCAGGGTGGTGGGATGGGCAGGGCTGTGTGTCCAGTGCCCTTGGGCTGCAGATGTTGGCTGTGCTCAGCACATGGGATCAGAGGTGACAGCTCAGATGGGCCATTTTGGGCCTGGAGGGAAGGATCACCACAGTGACAGAGGCTGCAGTGCCACTGCTCAGGACAGTAGCAGTGTGACTGCCTCCACTGTTCAAACAACCCCTGCATTCTCCTGTGCTGCCTCTTCCCTGATCTTCCTCTCCCCCAAGGCCATTTCTTTTGGGACATCCCTGACTCCTCTGCCAGGACCCCACGTGGCTCCTGAAGCCAACCAAGGGTGAGAACCAGCATTCTTGGGCATCCTCAGCCCTCAATACCCCTCAGCTCCCCATGAGGAAGATGCTGCCCAGGTCCACAGGTAACACAGAGGAGCACAGCAGGGTTGTGCTCCAGGGAGCAGAGGCAATGCACTCAAGATGGGGCTCAGACAAGGCAGACCAGCCGTGCTGGCTCCCTACTGCCCCAGAGCAGAGCTGATGGAGCCAAGCCTGCACCACAGGGCAGGCTGGGCAGCATCAGATGTGTATCTAACACTGTGAATCCCACTCACCTCCTGTTTTGACAGTCCCTCCAGCTTTTCTCCACTGCTCTCTTCTTTTTCCACACTGCCCCTAGGTGAGAATGAACAGTCCGTGGTAGTGGCAGCACAGCCCCTGTGGCTGTGCCAGTTCTCAGCACCAAGAAGCAAAGAATTGGTGCTCATGCCCTCCCTCCACCTCATACTGGGGGACCAGCTCCCTTCTGCCCTCCCCTCTGCACTCAGCAGCACAGCCTGCTCCCTCCCTCCACTGCCCCAGGAGCGAGCTAGGTTCCTGCAAGAGCTCTGCTCCATCCCCTGCCCACCTTTCGGCAGCATCCTGTGCCCCATCGCTGACGCCCTGCTCGGCAGAGAGCAGCTTCTCATCTGGCATGCCCACCTTCTCCAGGAAACACAGCGCTGGGTCCGCCCGCATGGCGTTGTACCGCTCGTAACCTGCCACACCGCCAGGACAGACAGACAGACAGAGCAAGGCCTGAGCCTGGTTCACAAAAACCTCCTGCTCCTGGGACACAGCTCCTCACCTGGCTCTCATTCCCTCTGTGCTGCCATGAGAGCAATTCTCACCCCCAGAAATTCACAACACTTTCCCAGATCTGCTAATGGCTCTGCAGCCCCCGGGGAACAGCAGGCAAAGGGAAAGCCTTCCCATCCCACCCAGCAGCAGCACAGCCACCATGCAGGGTGCAGCTGGGGCAAACAGCCCCATGTCTCCCGGAAACCCCACCAGGACACCATGATGAGACCAAGAAAAGATCTGTGCCTCTCTCCTCACCCTCACACAGCAACTGCACACTGTGTTTGCACCTGGCAAAACAGAGTCTACCATGAGATCTGGCATGGCCACCCTAGGCACTGTGGGGTGCCTGTTCCCCACCCAAACATGCTGCTGGCACCTGGGGAGAGCTGTCCTGGTCCTGTGTGGCTTTGGAGCATGGCCACAGCTCTGTCCCTCGCACTGACATGACATCCCCTCCAGTGCCAGAGGTACTCATTCCCCCCCACACCAGCACCCACCAGACAGCTGGGTACACACCATGCTTGAAGACGCCAATGAGCAGGGATTTATCAGCTTCAGCATTCCACCAGTCCACTGGGATCTCCACGTAGTCAATGTCTGGCAGCAGCACATCCAGCTCCCTGTGGCAGACATGGTATGAACACCCCCCTCCCTCAGCCTCACCAGACACTGAGGGGCACTGGTCACTGCTCAGAAGGCACAGGGGGAGGCAGGAACTGCTGACTGCTGGCTTGGGGACAGCTAACGAACCTGGGGCCTGCTGTGACATGGGTACATATCTCCCTGGGGTCAAAGAGCTGGAGCTTTGGTTCCACCACAACTGCTGCCCTCCTACTCCTCTTTCTCCAGGGCAGTGGGTGCCCCCAGCCTTATTCTCCTCCCACCCAAGTAACACCAGAGGACTAAAGATCCCGTCTGACCCAAACAGCATTTCGTGGGGTAAAACACTTCACACCTACCAACCCCAAAAGAACAGTGTCTCCCCACATACACTGGTGCTGACAGAGCTGTGCTGGGGAATCCTCTACCTGAGGAAATCAGGCTTTTAAGCTCAGGAGCTGGCAGGCTGCAGGCTCAGTGCTATTACAGAGCCTGTGGGGCCCACGGTTCCCAGTGCTGGGAGGGACTGCAGGCCACAGCAACGGGGCATGCTCTGCTCTGTGGCCCGGCCCTGAGACTGGGAGCAGTCTCTGTGGACTCCCACTTTGAATAACGGCCCGTTTGTCAAGCAGCACACAGAACCATTTCCCTTGCAGGGTGTCCCTGTAAGTCCCCACCGCCCCCCAGCTGGTCCTACAGTCTCAGAGCTGCCTCAGCAGGGCTGCCACAGCTCCAGTCTCTGCACAGGCAAGGGGACTCCCAGAGGGTGAAGTTTTTCCTGAGGAAGACCTGGGGTCTGATTCATCTGGAGCTGCAGAGAGCCCAGATGTGGTTGGGTCAGACACCCGTGGCAGCGCTCAAGCCCAAGAAGCCTCGCAGGGGTTCACCGTGAGGTCCCTACCTGGCAGGGGTCCCCTCGAAGGCTTTATCTGCAGCCTCCCCCAGCACTTCAGCCTTCAGGTAGTAGAGCATTCGCACCCGCAGCAGAACCCTGTCCCGGGCGGCAGAGAGGTCAAAAAGGCCAGTGAAACCTGCCTGACACCATGTTTTCCCACGTGGAAGGACCCACTTGTGTAAAGCAGGATGGGCAGTGTCATGCCACACTGCCCAGCCCTGTGACCTGTGACTGGCCAGAGGGTCGCTGCTCAGGACACGGCTTCGATGAGCTGGAGGGGAATGAGGGTGGTCCAGCAGTGGGAGCATGGTGATCCTCTGTGACATCTGAGCCCTTCACAGCTCCCTCCCACCCTCCCAGCACTAAAGACCCTCAGCCCACTGTCTCCTTGAGCCAACAGGGGCTCCCACAAGGTGGGGGTTTAAACTAAAAGGGGAGAGATTTAGATGTTAGGAAGAAATTCTTCACTCTGAGGGTGGTGAGGTCCTGGCACAGGTTGTCAGAGAAGCTGTGACTGCCCCATCCCTGGAAGTGTTCAAGGACAGTGCTTGGAGCAGCCTGGGATAATGGAAGCTATTCCTGCTCTTGGCCAGAGTAATGTATTAAGATGTTCCTTAAGGCTCCTTCCAACCCAAACCACTCCATGATCCTGTGACTCACTTGTTGCAGTGTTGTTTGAGGTGCTTCTTGTAGCTGTCATCATGGAGCACCACCTCGGGGTTGCAGGTGGCGAGCCAGTCTGCATTCTTTATCTCAGGAAGCAGCATCTGGTTCTTTGTCTTCTTCCCCTTCCTGCCTCTGGGCACCGGTGCTGACAAGCCTGTAACAGTGAGTGGCAGCCAGTGAGCACCACGGGCACCGTGGGCCCAGCACTGCCACCAGGCACCTCCGGCGCTGGAGGCAGCCTGGGGCAGCAGAGCTGGGAGCTGAAGGAGCCCATGCAGAGCTTCCAGCTGCAGCCTGAAGAGCCAAGGAGAGGAAGTGCATGAGGAAAACAGAGCATGGGAGAGTCCATCTCTGTGAAAAACTTGGGGATCACCACAGAAACTGAACGGCTGTGCATTCTCAGTGCAATGCCGAGCCCAAATGACAACATGGCCCTTCAATGTGCAAAAATATCACAGAAAAGGGGTGAAGCATGGAAAGGACCTTGGCCCTGGGCGTAGCCCTTGGAGACTTAGGCACTACAGCCACCTCTGAAGGTCACTTATGTGGACAGTTATTTGGGACAAGGGTTCAAACAAGAAGCTCCCAAATGATCAAAGAGCAGCAAACCTGCTGATCTAATCTGAAAGGGCTGTTTCTTATATCATGCATCTGGAGCAGGGCTGGGGGGAACTGGATCACTGCAAGGGGGCTAAGGTACCAATGGGAAAGGAAATGTGGTTCCATCTGTCTGACAAAGATAAAATGAGATCCAGTGGCTTGAGATGAAAATTAAACACATTTCAACCTTGAAATAAGTTGTGAGTTCACAGCAGAACATGGAAACAACTCCTGGTGGGGTCACTGTTACTTGGAATCTCCAGAGACGGATAAGCTGCCTCCCTGGGCAGCTGCTCTTGTGGTAGGAACTGCAGCCATGAAGGAGAAAGGATGCCTGAGCAGTCCCATCCCATCTGTCTGGTCTTGTGACACCAGTGAACAGAAAGTGTCACCATGTCATCAACTCCTGCATAAAGTCTGCAGCTCCATGACAGGACAAGGGCTGTGACCCAGCTGGCTGCTGGAGGCCTGCAGTAGGCACCAGGCCTCCTGAACCCAGCAACAAATCAGCCTGAACTCTGGGCAAATGGCACTCAGCAGCTTGGCCTGTTCCAGGATGAAAGGCAGGATGGTGCTGGATCAGAGCAGAGCTCTGAGTTGGACTGTCTGGGTGCTGTGCTCACCCCTTGTGATCACACAGATGTGGGATTGAGAAGAGCTCCAGGATGCCTGCCCCAGCAAGGGCTGAAGGCTGCTGTTCCTTTCTGCACGTCACGGATGGGGCATGACTTGTCTGGTCAGCTCTCTGCAGACATGAGTGGTACTTGAGGATGCCTGGGGAGCCACAGCAGTTACTTCCTGACTGAGGAAGGAGCACTGCTCTGCACTACAGTGTTCTGCTTCTTCTGCTCTCCTCCAGCTCCTGTCAGGCGGAGATGTGGCTGTTCCTCCGGCCCAGACAATACAGAGGTTTCACAGGTGGGAAAGACATTCTAAAGAGTTGATGGAGCAGCTCCTGGTTGCTTTGCTGGTCAATATTCAATGCTCTTGCACTAAAGCAATCCTGACCCTCTGCTGAAACCATGGCTTGTTCGTTACTTGGCATTATCTAAATCAAGCCCACTCATACCAGTTGATTTGTTTCTGACTCTTGTTCTGCTTCCCACAGGACTCCCAAGCCCACTCCCAGATGCTCCCAGGGCAGGGCTGTGTGGCAAGAGCAGGAAGCAGCACTGCAAAAGTGACTCCCATTGCAGGAGGTGACTGGAATAACTTACAGCAGCCACCAAAAGCCACATCCTTGGACCTTACATTGCAAAAGCTAGTTGGACACTTCCAAGCAGAAGGAAATGATGACACTGGGTATTAAGCACCAACTATGATGCACTTGGCACTCAGCAGCATCACCACTCCAGAACAGCCTTCCCTGTGCTCCACCATGTGGGAACAGAACTCCCAGATTTCAGCTCAACTCCCTGATGTCAAAAGCAGTCTGGAGAGCTCCAGCCCCCTCACTACTCACCTTGTGCCACAGATCACAAGTACAGAACAAGCAGCACATCGCTGCTGGGCTCTGACTCCCTGAGGGACACTGTGGCCTCCCCCAGCCCCACTCAGTCCTGAGAGCCACAGGATGCAGGCACTGTGCTGCAAGGTCAGCCAAAGCCCTCTGGCACAGCAGGCAGCGACCACATCGCAGACCACAATCCCAGATCCAGGGAGCCAGCAGCCACTCCGTGCTCAGAGGTGAAGCCAAAGGCTCCGTGGCTGCCTCATTCACAAGGTGGGCTTTATGGCGGCCCCAGCCCCAGCAGAGCCTACAGAGAGCAGCTACTGTGCTGCAGGTGGGGAGGCCAATCTGCAGTGTCCATCACTGAGGCAGAGCTAGAGCCAAAGGGAGAGCAGGCCTCTGGGTGACCTGTCTGAAGCTGAGGATATACTGGGAACTTCTACACAACAGAATACAGACACCTCTAGCCAACAGATGCAATTACAGATCTGACGTGACACATGAACCTCGGACACACTGCCTCTGAGTAGAGAGAGCACAGCCAGGCCTAGGATAAGGGTCCTGCTAGGCAGAGTGAGAAAAGGCAGCATCACCTGGGGAGTACTATGCATTGCATAAGTCTCAGGACAATACAACACTGCACCTCCACCCATCAGGGCAGGCACTGCAGACCAGTAGGTCTGGGACAAGCACCATGACAAGGGGAAACAAAAGCTGGAAATCACAAAATCACAAAATATTCTGAGTTGTAAGAGTCTCACACGGATCATTAAGTCCAACAATTAAGTGAATGGCCCATATGGGGATCAAACCCACAATGTTGGTGTGAGATGGATGCTCAGCTGCACCCCCAGTTTTCCCTGGTGTAGTTGCCTGTGCTGCCCAGAGGCACAGGCAGGGTCCTGCCCCACGTCCATGCTGTGCCCTGTGAGGCTCTGAGGAGCAGCCTGAGGCGTGTCCCTGCCTTGAGTGGAATCAGCACCCTCATCCCTATCACACCAAACATGTTTATACAGTCACTGGTGCCCACAAGCTCACTGCCCAGCATCTCCCCACGCAGGGGAACCACGACGGTATTCACAGGCCAGAGAAGACTTAGCAGCATCTCTGCTCCCACCACAAAGCTCTCTCTGCATGGAAAGACAGAAACAGCCACCCTCACTCAGCCAGCCCCTGCCGCTGGCTGTGATGGTCAGTGTGGAGGTCAGCTCCATGGAAGTCCCTTTCTCTGTGCAGCGAGAATTGCAGTGCTGAAGCACAAACACTTGCAGACTGTTTCCATCAGTTCTACTTTGAATTCTGCAGCCTCAGTCCCACAGGCTGGCACAAGGCAACAGGTACAGATGCAATGGCAGAGAGAACACGCAATACCTGAGTGATTCTGCAGAGCCTGATTCTGGCCATCCTTCGTTGGCGTGATGAGATCCCAGATAAAACTCTTAATCTTCTCATCCCCCTTGTAGTGTTTGACACAATACACCAGCAAGGCCCGACAAATCATCTCCATGTCCTTCTCATTCAGGTGCCACTTGAACCGTCCATGGGTCAGGATATCTTTCCAGCGTCCCCAGCTGAAACAGCAGGAACACAGAGTAAACACTCCTGTGCAATTAGAGACCTTGCTGGCACCTCTCTCCAGGAGCTCCTGGGGGGCACAGCCCTGCCAGAACCCCTAGATAGGGATGTTTTGCCAACACATTACAGAAGCAGAGAGGGAGAGAGGTTTACAGGACTGAACAGGGCAGAGGCAGGAGTGGCAATTGCCAGCTCAAGCTTTGTCCTCCTAACTCTTTTTCCAGCCCAAACATTTGCTTAGAGCCCAGCTCCCACCAGGCAGGTCACTGCTGCAAGGAGGCAACATAGCAAGCAGGACAGGCAGGAAGTGGCTGGTGCAGCCAGTGGCCCACATGGGCACTGGGGCAGCTGGAGGCTGTGGCTGTGCTCTCACAGGGGTGAGACTCACCCAAATATGAGCAGGTTCTTCTCCACACGAAAGCACTCAGCCCTCAGGTACCGTCGTGTCTTCTCGTTAAAGCGCCGTGAGCGTGTGGGTCGCTCATCCGAGTCACTGTCCAGCTCGGAGAACTCCATCAGCTCATCCTCTTCAAAGGAGTTGTAGTGTTTGGTTTGCTTCCTCACCCGGGGTCTGTCAATGACCAGGCTCTCCTGTGATGGACAGAGCAGAGAGTGTTCTCAGGTACAGGCAGAAACACTTATTATGTGCTCTTCTGGACCCTGTCACCCAGGCTTTGCTCAGCCTCTGGCTCCTGGCTTGCCAGTCCTGTGGCTGACCATCACATTCCCACTAGGATACCTGCTTCAAGTTACCTGTGTCCAGTTCTGTCTGCACAAATGACAAGTGGCCAGCACAAAATTCAGGCTGAAAATCAGCCTCTCTGTGTCCAAACTGCTGACTGCCAGCAGCTGACTCAGCTCTGAGTCACTCCTGGCCCTCTCTGCATTGCCTGTGCCACGTGCTGTGCTGAAGATAGTGTAATCTCTGTGTCAGGGGGACAGGTGGGCTACAACAGGAAAGGCAGCTTCCAAGAAGGTGCAGGAGGGAGCAATATGAAATTAAATAGCAGGTACCTGCCCCCTCTTCTTACTCTGCCCTGTTGAATGAATTAATGCCATGTAAATCTGCCTGATTTCATGCTCATAGGACATACACAAACACTGTCTCCCATTGCTCCAGCTTGAGCAGTGAGCTCTGTAGAGCTGCAGGGCCGCCCCCCTGCTGCAGTCTAAATCTCTTACAGCACTGCTGCCTTAGCTGGAATTATGGCAGCTTCAGGGCTGCACTGGAGCCAGTGGCAGCACCCTGTGCCTGATGGAGGAGCTGGGAAGGGAGACCTGAGCTGCAGCTGAGCCCATCACCTCAGCAGGGCCAGCAGAGGGCTGGGATCCCATCTGTCCCCTCTTGCCTCCTGACAGGCAGAGGCACCAGTCTGACCTCATGAGAGGCAGTAGGGGGGCAGCTTCAATCTCTGCTCTCTGTGACCTGGTACAGGACCCACAGAAACGACTGGAGCGCCATCAGGAAAAGGTTCTTCCCTCAGAGGGTGCTTGGGCACTGAACAGGCTCGTCAGGGAATGGGCACAGCCCCAAGGCTGCCAGAGCTCAGGGAGCATTTGGACAATGCTCTCAAGCAGAGGGTGGGATTGTTGGGAGTACCTTGAAAGATCAGTGAGCCACAGACCAGCATGTGCCCAAATAAATCAGGACTTTAGCTGGCATTTGTGGGTCAGTCTTCCCTTGTAGTAATTCTTGGTGCCCAATACAAACCTCTTCAGGAGCCCAGAGGAAGCATGCAGCTCCCACCTGGACACCAGGCCACATAGTGTCAGATCAGTTGTAGGGAACATGGGCCAGAAACTGCATCCTACCTTTTCATTCTTGGCATCTGTATCGAGCTCTGCTATCTTGGCCCACTTCTGCCAGAAGTTGGGGTCATCTAAAGAAATGTCAGTTCTGTTTCCTGATGCTACAAAGCTGGCCTAGGAGAGAAAGAAGAGGAGTGAACAGGGTGCAACCCACCATCCAGATGTGCTGTCCCCCACACGCCTGTCTGAGTGCACAGTCTTGCTGCGGTAGAACATTACACCCTAAGCTGATATGTGCCAGAGGGTTCTTTGTCTGCCTAAGGGAGCTGAACCCCTCTGTTCTGCATCCATGCCTGACCCACTGTAAATGGAGCCTGGGCTGTGCAAAAGGAGAAAGGACAGATGGCCCTTAGTGACCCCAACAGACACCAGCCAAAGCATAGCAGGGAGCTAGCTCCTCAGGCTCTATGTGGGGGTTTTGTCAGGACCCACAGCACTCAGCTTCCATGGCCCAGCAGCACCTGGCTTTGGGCACCATGCAGCCCAGCAGCTGGGTCCTGCCACCATCCTGGAGTCCCTATGCAGAGCCAGACCTCATGGCTGAACCATCTTAGGCAGCCTTCCATCACCCACCAGGCTGGTGGCCCCTTCTCAATGTTCTGTTGACCACCAGAGAGACAGGAGACCGTACCAGTTGCAGCACTCCAGCAAGCTCTCAGTCCTGGGCACAGCAGGACAGCAGAGCTTGGTCTCCATGTGGTCATGTCTCCACACCAGGAAGGAGGTTGGACATCTCTCCACACACAGGTAGAAGGTTGGCCAACCACTACTGCCCTGCATGTTCCCCTTCCTCCACCCCCAAAGGAAATCCCCCTTCCCCCCCAGTGGAGCACAGCACACCTTTGCAAATGTGGAGCCCTTCCCTTCAGACTGGATCGTGATAGTCTGTGTCCTGCGCTGGAGGATCTGATCAATGTCTTCCTCACAGAACTTGGACCCCTCGTCCTCCTCATCCATGAGTGCGCCATAAGCACCCTTCCGCAGCAGGTCCTCCACCTCCATCTTGGAGAGCTGCTGAACCTGCCCAAAGCACAGGGGCATCACCAACCTGCCCAGCAACCATGACCGCTGCACAACAGGAGAAGGCTCCTCCCTCTGCTCCTGGAGAAAGGGCCCCAAGCCAACCCAGACTTGCTGCTGTTAAAGCAGAGGTCACTTCCAAACTCTTCCTGAGGGACTGTCAGGAAATTCAGTCCATGCCAATGTGGACACAGCATCACATGTCCCCTATCCCCATATCAGTGCAGGAACAGCCTGGCAGGCCAAGGAGCAGCACTGCGAGTGTGTGGGACTGGACTCTCCCCCACTCAAAGTCTACCCAGTCCCTGCTCTGACCTGGCAGTGACTTGGAGAGGGAGGAGGAGAGATCTGCAGAGGCTCCCACCTGGCCCCGCTCCAGCAGCCAACCTACCCCATTGGTGCTGCCCTTGCGGTTGATGTCCTGCAGCACAGCTTTATCCAGGCCCAGCTTCAGGCTGGCCTTGTCAAACATTTCCCGCTCATAGGAGTTCCTGGTGATGAGGCGATAGACCTTCACGGCCTTGCTTTGCCCAATCCGGTGGCAGCGAGCTTGAGCCTGTCAGTGCAGAGGGCACAGCGTCAGCGCAGGGAACCCAGCTGGATGAGGACTGTGTGGCTTGTGGCACCCTGCATCAGCATCTACACTCACTCACCTGACCCACAGTCACCTCCCACCCACCACAGCACCCTCACTGCCTGCCTGTGGCTGACCTGGCAGGGCTCTGGCACAGCCTGCACAGCTGTGGAGCAGGAAAGGGAGATCCCAGCACCCTCAGGCAAGGACACAGGGCTCAGGCTGGAGCTTTGGCTCTCTGCAGATGTGTAACACAACACTGCACCCAGTCCAAAACCAGGTATGGACATAGTGTTGCCTGCTCTGCGGCCCGTCTGTGCTTTCAGAGCCACAACGTGATCTCTCCCACGTCCTGTTCCCTCTGCCCACATTCCTGCCAGCTGTCCTGGCACGGCACCTCGTGCCCAGTACAGCTGGTGCTGCTGCCCTGTTCTCCCTGCCTGGCACAAGTGATAGGACCTGTGCCTCAGGACCTCCTGACAGCTTGGCCCTGCCCAGCCCTTTACCTGCAGGTCATTCTGTGGGTTCCAGTCGGAATCAAAGATGATGCAGGTGTCGGCAGCAGTCAGGTTGATGCCCAGCCCGCCTGCCCGTGTGCACAGGAGAAAGACAAAGCGATCCGAGTCTGGCTTGCAGAAGCGGTCAATGGCAGCCTGGCGCAGGTTGCCGCGCACCCGCCCATCGATACGCTCATAGGTGTACCTGCTCAAGAGGGGAAGAGGTTAGAGCAGAATCACAGTGGGGCCTGAAGAGGCTGTGGCTTTCAAATCTCTTTCTGCTGCTTCCCCCAGGCTGTGTGGGCACACCAGCCAGGACTTACTGGCAGGACCTGTGCCCAGGTAGAGGCCCAGGCCCCATCACCCTGTGTGCACTGTGGTTGCTCCCAAAAATTGTGCCTCTTATGATGACAAAATCATCACAACCCCATGCATGGTGCATGGATATGGGGCTCATGAGAACCAGGACCAAGGGAAGGATCTACTTCCATCTGGTCACTCTGAGGACTAGTCCTAGACTACACAGAATGAAAGGTCTAAGCTGCTTATCTCTGGGGTCTCCGCACCCACCAGCAGTAGATGGTAACTCGGATGCATCAGTACGTGGGCATGGAATGGCCAAATCCCCACCCTTTGTTGTTGCCACTCTATGTGCAGTGCATGGAGGTAGTGTGGAGGAGCCGTGGTGAATGCTGGAGTCTGTACTAACCGTCTCTGGATGAGATAGTCTTCCAGGATGTCAAGGCAGCGCACCATCTGTGAGAAGATGAGCACCTTGTGCCCACCAGCAATCAGCTTGGGAAGCAGCTTATCAATGAGCACCAGCTTCCCAGCTGCCTGGATCATCGCCTGCAGCTGGAAGTCTGGTGCCTCTGGGCAGTGTGTTTTACGGAAGTCTTCCAGGATCTTCTCCTCTGCCCCTGCCAGGTGAAAAAGGATGTGAGCTCTTGGCAAGGCTGGCAGTGCAGCTTCCCAGGGCAGCAACAAGGGACTGCATGAGCAACAGAACCCATGCAGTCAGAGCTAGGGAGGCTGGCTAGAGATCTCCTGCAGACCCTCCACTCCTGGGACTAAACTTCTTCAGGGCTCAAATCAGCTCTTGGCAGAACAAATCAGGTTGGGACGTTGGTCCTGTGTCAGAACACCACCGAACACAGTGAGCCTCAAGAGACCCTGAGGTTCCCATCAGCAAGCAGCCCTTGGAGGGAGCTGGGCTGCCTGGGAAGGCAACAGGACAGAGCACTGCCACACCATCAGCAGATGGCACAAGGCCTGAGCTGGCTCTCCAGCTGGGTAAGTTCTGCTGGTAGTAAATGTTCAGTGATACCTGAGTGTCCCCCCATACAACTCCTGTGCACAGCCCTCACCATTGATGAGGTACGGGTGATTGCAGCACTTGCGCAGCTCCATCATGGTATTGATGAGGTTGGGCATATTGTGCTGGTTGGCACCCTTGGAGAGGAAGGAGAAATTCTTCTCCAGGATGGCCCGATAGTATTTCTTCTGGATATTGGTCAGCTCCACCTCAATGATGGTCTCCTGCTTGGGTGCCAGATTCTTCTCAACATCATCCTTCAGCCGTCGCAGCATCATGGGCTTCAGGATGGACTGCAGCTTCTTCACCTGCAGAGCAAGTGCAGACACTCACTGCCCTTTCTGCATGGCAAGCACATGGGCCCAGCAGAGGGGTCTGCAAGACTGGAGCCTCCCCACACTGCAAACCCACTGCAGGTGACTCTGGAGCAGCTGCTCAGCAGCCAGCCAGGACAACTTCAGGGGCTGGGCTTCTTAGGGCAGGCATGACCAGTCCCAGGCTATGAACTTCACATGCCTCTGCTGCCAGCAGCCTTAGGTGTCTGATGCAGGAGGAGAGCTGAGAGTTTGGATGGCAGCTGAGATGGTGGTTGCTTCATGTGCCTGTGCCTGCTCCCACAGAATGACCACCTTTGTGCAATTTCCACATTCAAAAGGCAGTGGGACAGCCAAGGCAACTCAGCGGCTTCCCACGACCCATACTCAAGGAGAGCTTTGGAGGAAGGCTCTCCAGGGGAACCTGACAAGGGTGACTGACACATGGACTTACTGGCCTCCCTACTACCCCTGCACTCTTGTGGGTCTCAGGGACAGACCAGGTGGGAGAGGCAGGTGAGCTGTTCTACCCAGGCATGTAAGGGCAGCAGGGAGTCACCACTGCCTTGGCAGGGGTGGGTCTCCTCTCCCCGGAGCAACTTTGCTTTTCCTGGTATGAGGAGTCCTATCCACTTCAATGAAGCACATGTCTGAAAGCACGCCTGGTTTGGTCACCAGGTGTCCCAGCGGCCCGTGCTAAGTCACCAGTGTAATTATTCCAGGTACCTGCTCCTCTGTCTTCAGGTCTCCAAACTCTTCCAGGAAGGCTGTCTCTGAGGGGAACTGCTGTGGCTCCAGAAAATTTAGGAGGCTGAAGAGCTCCTCCACCGAGTTCTGCAGGGGGGTCCCTGTCAGCAGCACCTTGTGCTCCTGGGAACACACAGAAAACAGGTTGAGAAGGTGTCCCAAGAGCACAGTGCTTCTTGCCTTCAAACCTAAGAAGCACTCTGGGTGGCCTGGGAGCACCCACACACCCTGAGAGGCTTCCCTGGCCATAGTGCCAGCCCTGACCGAGCCACTGCCACACAACAGTGTCTTGTGGCTCCCAGGACACTCATGTGCACATGTTCCACTACAGCTCTGTGCAACAGCCAAGCCCAAGATCTCACACTGCTCCCAGGCTTCAGCCCTGGCACAAGACCCTCAGGTAGGACTGTGCTGGTGCTGGACAGGGACACTGACAGAGCCTCTGTGCAGCTGGGGGCAGGATGCCTGTCTTCAGGGCTCAAAGAGAGCAAGAGGGAACATGTCCCAGAGCCATGGAACACCGAGGGTCAGCAATGACCTGCTGCTAGGGCCAGTCTCAGCAGGGCGCTCCAAAATCGGCAGGGGCAGGTATGACTGTGCACTGGGAACAAAGGGGAGCTTTCCTTAGAGGTTCACCATGTAGGTACATGTGCAGTAAAAGAAGATGGGGTCCAAACAACCCCTAAGACCTGGGGGTCTGAGGACCAGATGATCCCTCAAGGAGAATGCTCTCCCTCCCATGCCTGACAACATGGGCTTGGGCTTCAGGCACCACCAGGTGCTGGTACTTGGTGCTCCAGCTCCTCTGTCCCAGCACTGCCAGAGCCTTGGGCTCATTACTCAGGCTAATCCTCCTGCCCAGTCTAGTGCAGGAAATGTCCCCAGGAGTGGCCAGCTAGGAAAGAAGGGCAATTGTAAGGTGAGAGACTCCCATAGGACTTGTACAAAGGAAGGTGATGGTTTAGAAGGGGTACCAGTAGCAACCCTGCTTTGACCCAAACTCACAACCCAGCAGGGTCCTGCACAAGACACAAAGTCTTGTGCAGCCAGGGGAAACAGCAAGGTCTTTTGGAACTTGTAGGAGTCACAAGACTAATTATTTTCAGAGTCCTGGCCCAGCTACAGGTGAGTGTGATGGAAGATGGGTACAGTTGGAAGATCCAAAAGGCCTGTTGGCCCTTGGTCCAGCTAACAGCAGTGCTGCTTTTCCCACGGTTGGAAAGGAGCTGGACATCCAAATAATTTTTCAGAGCAGCTCACTGATCCCTTTGTTAAGCCAGCCCTGGCATGGGCTGGTCCCATGTCTGCACAGCAGTAAGAAACCAGCTCAAACACCACAGCCTTGCCCAGTGTAGGGCACAAGGTACACCATGGCCAGGGGTGCTGTGCAAGGCTGGCCAGCAACTGTCCCCATGTGTTGCACCAGCTTACACTGTGCTGTAAGGCTGCACAGGGCTCTGGCAAGGACCACCACCAGGTGGGGAGGGACAGGGGGAGTTAATATTCCACTCTGGCAAAAAGAAGTTTGTGAAGGCTACAGGGCACCAGTGCCCCGTCCATCAAGCAGCCCCCTGGATGGTTTTCCTCCAGCCTGCCACAGGGCCTGAGCAGCTGACAATGGCATCTGACTGCTCAGCATGGCCATCTCCAGCCCACCCCGCTCCCAGGTGAACCTGGGCAGGACATGCTCACCAGGGCCATGAGCTTCAGCCCCTCCAGGAGTTTGCAGTTCCTGTTCTTCAGGCGATGTGCCTCATCAATGACCACACAGCGCCACTGAATCTTCTTCAGCTCTGGGCAGTCAGCAAGGATCATCTCAAAGGTGGTGATAACCACCTGGAACTTGAAGATCCCAGGGAGAGGGTTACCCTAGGGAAACAGAAACCAGAATTTGGGTCCTGAAGGGCGGCAGCACACTGTCAGACCTCCTGTCTGACAGTATCAGTGTGAGCATCTGACTCTGAGCTGGAATTTCCCCAGAATAATCTCTCTCAAGCATTGGACAGGTTTTTGCAAGCCTCCTTGATGGCCACAGGCTGTGTATCTACAAACCAGACACTGCCCCAGGGCAGGCACATAGGCCTGAACAAGAACCAGGGCTATGCTATACCCTCCCTGTTCTGCATGAGGTGTGCCTGTTTACTCATACACAGTGCAACCTGAGCCCATGCCAGCAAACAGGGCTGTAAAGATCACCTTTCCCTCTCCAAATGAACAAGCTCCACAAGCAGCTCAGCGCTTCCCAAGTAAAGGAAGCCAGGGCTGGGGAATGCATCCTGGGAGGGCTGTGTGCATCAGTCACCTGTGTGTCCCTGTACACCATCTCGTACTGCTGGATCATCTGCCGGCTGATCTGGCTGCCGTGGTACACGATGGCGTTCATCTCCGTCCAGGTGCGGAACTCCCTCTCCCAGTTTGTGATGGTGGAGAGAGGTGCGATGATGAGGAAGGGGCCATGAATGCCCATCAGGAATATCTCCGAGAGGAAAGTGATTGACTGGATTGTCTTCCCCAACCCCATCTCGTCAGCCAAGATGCAGTTCTTCCTGCAGAGATGGACAGGATCAGGTCAGTGTGGCTCATGGGGGCAGAAACCACTCTATTACCAACTCTTTGATGGGATGTCAGGCACACCACCTCTGCCTACACTTCTCTGACCCTGCAGCATGGAGCGTGGGGGGACTTTGGTATAATGGCCCAAATCTGTCTGGGTAAGCCAGCCAACTTCTTGTAAGATCATGCATTCAAAATCAGCATGAAAGATGCTGTTTTTCAGGTACACATGAGCCAGGGAAAGATGCATTTGATGTCCTGCTGCAGCTGAGAACATGCATATTCCCACCTGCGTGCCACACAATGGGTCACCAATAGCCTGGTCAATACAAAAAAAACAGGTGTATCTTATAACCATAGGTAAGCCCTATTATCTCCAAGACTCATCAGCATTTACCAGGGAGAAACATTCCCAAAGACTCAGTTGCCAAGCTAAAGCAAATCCACTGTTTCTGGCAGCTGCCTGACAGCTCCAGCACTCGAAGGACTCAGCTGCTGCTCTGTCAGGCCCGTGTTTGACTGCTCTGCTGCCCACCTTCGCTGTTCCCATGACAGCACACACAGGGCCTGCTGCCAGCAGAACTGCTCATGGCAGCACTGGGCTCCAGCCCCTCCTCACCTGTTATACCAGTTAAAGAGCAGCCAGTTCATTCCCTCCAGCTGATACTCCCGTAGCTGGTTGCTGTTCTTGTACTCCCGGGACTTCTCCAGCTTCTGCCAGGACTCAGACGCTGGGCGCTCCTAGGAGAGGACAGCAGCAGCAAGGTCCATGGAAGATGCTAATGGCCAGTGAGGCCAGATTCCATTGCTGGGACTGCACATCAGGGACACTTCAAAGCAGTCACTGACAGCTGAGTCACAGCAAGGGCCTGGCCTCAGGAACCAACCCTCAGACCTCCAGAGGGGAGGATACAGGACTTGCACTGCAGCACCAGGGACCAGGTCAACACTGCTGGACTGTGGCAGGACACAGCCAGTCCCTGCACCCAGGGCAGCAAGCTGCCAGCCGGGTACGTTACCTCAGGGTACGTTACCATGTGCTTGATTTCTGGAGGGATTTGGAGGGCTTCAAACTCCTTAATCTTCCCTGGGTCAACATCCTCCTCCAGCTCCCAGGTGCTCTCCTCATAGGGCAGTGAGCACCACTTCACCAAGTAGTGAGTTACCTCCTGCAGCACAGAGAGAGACAGGCTCAGAGACCAGGAGGGTCAGCAGCCCTCCATCCACCCTGTGCCAAGGGTCCTCAGGGACAGGGAAAGCTGTGCAAGGGAAGGCTGGGAAGGCTCAGGGTGCTCAGTGATGACACACAATGTGCACCATGGGGCCGGGCCTCCTGCCAAGCCTCCCTCCTTCCCTCCATGGGGCAAGCAAGAGATGCAGCTTCTCACCTCCCCAGTGTCAGGGTCCTTTGTGTGAGCCACCTCCAAAATTCGATCTACCTCCACGTAGTCCGGGTTGAACAAATCCTCATCAGGCTGTGATGGCAAACAGTAAAGCAGGAGGCAAGTTCAAGGTGATTCCAGGGTTAAACAGATGGGCACAAGTAAACAGCTGTGGGGCATCTGTCCCCAGGATGCTGCTAGCTGTGTGCAACACACCAAGTGCCCTGGACACAGGTACAGACATCTGTCTCTGGGCAGGGAGGATGCAGGAGCCTGGCAGAAGGCAGAGCTCTTTCTTTAGAGCAGTCACATGCTCCATGCTGCCCTTGCTGGGAAGCAGGAATGTCCTCTCCACCTATCTGGCTCCAAGGTACAAGTCCTAAGCTGTCTGCTCCAGCTGATGTGCAGCATCCAGAGCTGTGATCGCCAAAGTGCATAGCACCCAATGAACCCCATGGCTGCAAGGGGTGACACCTTGGTCTCTGTCTCTGCCTCCCTCTTGCCCCACCTACCACAGCCCTTGGGGAGACATGGCCTAGTGCTTGGGAAGGAGAAAAATCAGGCTTCTATGCTCACAACTCCCCAAGCCCCAGTTAGTTACAGCAAAAGAGCATGTGCTCCTTGCTGAACTGTCAGTGATACAAACTGTTCCAACACATGTTTTTTTTGCATCCTGAGCAAGACCCCAAGCAGACTTGTGAGAAATTTGACACACACCCCCAGCTCTGCAGCTACAATGGAGAGATTTTCATAGCCTACTGGCCTGATTTACACTTGTAAGGGGCAGTTTGAGGAGATCCAACAACTATCTCAAGCAGAGAAGCAAGATAAATTATAGAACACCTTTCATACTAAGCAAGATTAATCTGCTTATAGACCAGAGCAGGCAGGAGCTGCCCTAAGCCCAGATATTTATAGCTCACTCTCTCCCACAGCATCTCTGCTCCACCACAGAAGCACCTCCAGCCCTGTATGCTGCCCTCCCTCCCACCAAGCAACTCTTTCAGAGCTGGTAGTGCCCAGCAAGTGACACTTGTCACCCTGCTCCTGATTCCATCAGTGACACTACAGGTGTCCGGGGCACAGTCATGAACTCTCAGCTCCAGTCCTGGTGCCTTAGGCCCTGGAGATGGACTGGTATCAGCAACAAGGTGTCAGGCGCAGCTCCTGGCCTGCTCAGCCATGGCACTGGGCTCAGGGTCAAAGCACCACTGCTCACTGTGCTCCACTCTCACCTCTGTGAAAATATGTTTCATCTGAGCCTGCTTGTTCCGGAAGCGTTTTATCTTCTGCGAGATCCTGGGGTCCTTCTCCAGTTCCTCCAGAGTTGCCCATTTACAGTGGAGGTAAGAGCTGTAGGGGGAAAAAAAAATCAACAACACATGACCAAGAGGCCTTTAGTCTCAAACCCATCCACCACAAATTGCAGCATGGATCTCCCAGAGATCCAGAGAATGCCCAGCCCATCCCTATGCCTATGCCACCCCAAACTGGGGAAAACCATGCCCCAGGACCAGGACAAGACCAAGCACTGAAACTGCAGCAGCTTCCCTGCTTCCCACTACCACAGCTGGCTCAGGACAACAACAATGCCTTACTTTTCAGCTTTCATATTTTCCAGATTCTGGAATTCCAGATACTGCATTAGTATATAACTCTGAACCTCATACACAAGTTCTGTTCACAGTTTAGTTAGACAAAACAATCCTTTTCCAGCCTGAGAACCAATGACACCGTTGTGGCTTCAGGCCCAGAAAGTATAAACAACAGCAAATTAAGGAGAACAGTCAGGGAGAATGGGACTTCAGAACCTGAAGCTGTAATTGGACAATTAACCTCAATATGTAAATGGACCAAAACTTTAAAAAGTGTGAAAACTTGTGACCGGTTGTCCATCTTGGGTGTAGCCATGGCTGGGTTCTTGAATTGCTCAAGGTGTAGCATTTGAAGTCATTTTTAATAAATACCTACTTTATTCCTTTAACACTGTCTGGCCTCTGTTCTAAATAGCCTCTCAAGGCATCAACAGGGGCAAGAAAACAGGGATGGTGGGGATGCAGCTAGGGATGGGATGGAGGTGGGAAGGCACAGTCCTTGCTCCTGCATGCACAGGACCCACAGAAAAAAACACCACAACACTGCACGTACAAGTTCCTGTATTTGACGTAGAACTCCTCTGTCTCAAATGCCAGGCCTCCAGGATGAGCCTGAAACCAAGGGAAGGAGAGTCAGTGACAGTCAGAGGCTGTGCAGAAGCTAGGGGGGCATGCTCAGCCATCCCTTCCATGGCCACAGGCTCCAGGGACTGAGCTGAGGACAGCCAGGCACTCGTGCTGCTGCTCCAGAGATGCAGTAGCTCTGGGGAACATGATGTGAGACCACCCTTGAGCATGGGGAACTCCAACACCTCCTGGGCATCAGCCCAGGCCTGACTCCTCTCCAGAGGCTTTCTGGTACCCAGGACAGACAGGCACCACACTGATCCACAGCTCAGAAAGGTGCCAGTCTGGGCATACCCCAGCACCCCACCACAGCAGCAAGAGCACCAACTGCTGCTACAACTCATGTCCCTGCTGCACAGGGCAGTCAGGTCTCATCCCTCCTCTGCTCATGGACTTCCAGCCCCACTGACATCTTTGCCACTCACCTCCTTCTGCACCATCCTGGAGGCAAGGATCTTCTCAATGATATTGGCATCATCCTCGGGAGGCTCCTGGGGACAGGAAAAGAGAGCTCTGTTTCTCTGGATCATCATGTGCCCCTGGCACTCTCCCAGCACAGAATGGCTGCTTACTCCTCTCCCAGTCCCCCAGCTGGGGAGACAGAGTTGGCACTGGGAGCTGGGAGAGCTGTGCTTGGGGAGCCCTTGCTGGGTGCAAGGGTGTAAACGCCACCAGCCCAGCTACACTCACCCTCTGCCTGTCCTCTTCAGGTCAGCCCAGCCACAGCACTGTCAGGTTTGCTGTGTGGGTCCTTCCAGCTACACCAGGGTAGCCAGAGAGGGTGGAAAGTCTCCCAGAAAAGAGGAGGGAGCTTGGGCAATTCTGCCCATGGACCCAAGAAAGGAAATATGCCAAAATGTGCACATTCCTGCTCCAAGGCTCTCTCCAAGCCGCATCCTGGTCATGCCTTGGAATTTATACTGCCCCATAGTGCTGGATACTCCAAGGGCCTCAGGAGGGCAGGCAGCATGTCTGTCAGGCCCTGCCACAAGTCACCCACATGCTGTCCCATGGCCACAGGACAAGGGCAACACCTCCTCACTCCACCACTCTCCATGCAGCTCTTCCTGGCAGGCTCGAAGTGCTGCCTCCTTCCTTCTGCAGGCTTCTACTCTGTCCCCATACTCACTCATTGATCCCTCTGCTGGCACCCAGAGGCTCCCAGCACAGCCCCAGCCCCTCACACTGAGCACAGGCTTTGCTGCAGGTGGCCCTAATGCTGTCCTGCTGCCAGCTCTGGGGAGGTGGAGGCTCTCCTGGCTGCAGCTGTGCCAGGACCAGGCACACCAAATGCCAAGGGACAAGAGAGCCAAGCTTGGGCCTCTCTGTGCTACAGAGGAGACACACACACAGGAAGATTCAAGGGAGATGACAGACACCAAAAACATGGAGCCTGCTTAAGCATTAGAATATCAGTTCTGCTTTGGCTGGAAGATAGTACAGCAGAAGGAGGAGCAAAGTGCAGAGCAGAAAGCAGAAGGACTCTGTTCATTCCCTTCTGACGGAGGCACAGTATGGACCAAGGCAAAGTAGTCCTGAGGTGTCACTTTGCAGACTAGAAAGTCTCTCAAAGAAAGGCATGGGACAGGCTGGGGAAGGACAGACAGACAGGGTATCCCACACCCAAAAGTTCTGGGAAAGCCAAGACCATGGCCAGGACCACAGCAACCCTTCCATCCCCAGCCCACAGGTGACTGCTGCCTTGGCACTGTCCTTGAGTGCAGGGTGGGATGCTGGACCCAGCACCACAACACAATGAGCAGGGAACAGATCTACCTGGGCCTGCTGGCTGCCATCTGAGGCCCAGAGCACGATTTCTGCCCTATTTGGGGAACTCTGCCCTACACTGGGTTAAGACAGCTGAAGGGAGCACGCAGAAGTGCTCCTGCCACAGTCACTGTGCAGTGCCTGTTTCGCCATGCCCAGGCATCCACCCTGGCACTGCTGGGCTCTGCTCAACCCTCCCACAGTGGGTTTGTGTGAACATGGCCATCACAGCAGTCCAGCGCCCTGGTGCTGGGAGCTCCCATGCTGATCCACAGCCCTTACACAGGCTTCCACTGGTCTGTGGCTCATTGCTGGATGCCTGAAGGCTCCTGGAGGAGCCCTGCGTTGCCCAAAGAGCTGTTTAGGACTATGTCCAGAATGCAGGGGGAAAGCTGCAAGTCCAGGCCATGGAGAGAGCAGCCCTGAGGCTGCAGCACTCACATCCTGCCCTGCCTGTCAGTTCCAAACCTGGGAGCAGCCACAGGCAGTCCCAGCTGGGTAGGCTGGCCAGGCCTCAGAGCAACCACCCAGCCTGGCTGCTTTGGACTTCAGCCTTAATGACCCATCTGGAGCAGGACAAACTGAGTTAGAAGTTTAGGACTGAGAGGAGAACAGGGTGGGAGCATGGACACATGCCAAAGGCAGCTCATACCTGCTGCTTTGAAAATCTTGGAGAGATGATTGCCAGGAGCCCAGCTGGGACACAGCCTCAGGCAGAGCTGGAGCTGCACTGGCAGCATGTCCTGTGGGTGTGTGGCAGCCCCAGGCCAGGCATAGATCATCAGGTCAGGGCTTATTAACAGAGCTAATACCCACCAAAACCTTGGGAAGAGGGTAACAGAAAGACCATGAAAACAACTAGTGCCCATTATTAATATCCGGCAGCTTTGACCAGAGAGATGGAATGAGTTGCAGGATCCAACACACAGTCACAGACAGGCAGGAAGGAGCTGCCAGCACCCACCAGGAGCCAGCACTGAACCAGTGGGCAGAGACAGAAGGACAGCAAGGCCCAAACTGCACTGGCACCGCGTGGTCCCTGCCATGCTGCCCAGCAGATCAGCTCAGCTGGCAAGGGTCAGGCTGGCATTGCTGTGGACTGAGGCACTGATGGAGAGCAGCAATGCAGGCAGAAAATTATGACCTGGCGCCTACAAAGTCCTCAGCTGGCAGGGACAAAATAATAATCATGGACAGGAACTACAGAGACCATAGCCAAAGGTGGACATGGGCAGTGGGTAGGACAAGTCCAGCTGTGTGACACATTCCAGAGGTCTTAATCTCCAAGCAGGAGCAGGTCAGTTGGACCAGTACACCTCTTGTCCATCTCACAGTTCCTAAAAAGCCAGCCTAAACCCTCCCAAACAGACAGTCTCTCACCCCATCCTTAAGCTGGGACCCACCACTTGGGACCCACAAGCCTCAGCAGTGACATTTTGGGATACCCTGCATGAGGCAGATCCCTCACACCCCCCAGTCCCACATCCAGCACTACCTCTGCCTGCCATGCCAGAGTAGAGGCAGAGAGCGCAGAGGTTCGCCCAGCTCCCAGCACAGCAATTGTCTCGCCGTCATCATCCACAACCTTGAAATCCAGGTCCTCGTTGTACTTCCTCCTCTTCACCTGCCGTCCTGAGCGTCGTTTCTGTATACAGAGTGAAAAAAGGCAGTGCAAGGAGGCATGGGCAAACCAAGTACCTCCTCCTTGCTCATGTGGCAGAGAGAAAGCCCCAGGGCTGCCAGAACTCCTCCCAGTCCCTCCCCTGCCCCAGCAGGATGGGGGGTAGTAGGAAAATAGGCACTCCTTGAAGTGCTGAGATCTCTATCCTGGCCCACAGAGCCCCATCAGTCCCCAAGATGTGAGGCAGAGGAGCCCTGTAGAGATGCAGGGCATGCAGCCCCCCAGGCTCTGAGGTCAATATGTCCCCCTGTGCTTTGCCAGGAAAGGGAGCTGCCCAGAGCTGTAGTGGAGAGAAACACTCAAGGCTGAGACACGCAGAGCCCAGGGCAGCAGCGTGCACCCAACTCTGAGCCAACAGCTGACTTCAGGCTGATAGAAGCTGACCACACTGCTGAACATGCTCTCTGATTCCTGTGCCCAGAGGCCCTTGTTGTGGTCCCACTGAGAGGCAGCCAGCCGAGGGCTTTGGACATACCTGGCTGTCAGCTGATTCTGCAGACTCCTCTGGGCTCTGTACAGATGGGCTCAGGAGATCCTGATCCAAATCCAAACTGTTCACTGGTATCTCATTTTTCCTCTTCCCTTTCTTCTTCTTCTCCACAGGGGTGTCTTTGCTGCCGAGGCAGACTGACAGTTAGATCATGTCCTGGGGATCCCAGAGGAGAGGCAGCAGGCACCCATACAGAAAGAGCACTGTTCCCACTGGATCACCCAGAGACACAGCTCAAGGCTCCTGGGACCTCCCCCAGCACTGGAGATTCCCGGTCACTGATGCTCATTAAGGACACCAAGTGTTTCTCCATCAGTTCCAGAACACTGGGATGAAATGGTCCACATGCCCCGCCTGGTGAGGAGGCTGGGTGCTCTCACCAGCCAGGGGAACAACACAGGGGCTGTAGGAGCTGAGGTTTGACTCATGGGGTCTAGCACAGGAATAAAGAGGATCTCTCCACTGCCAAACTCAGTATGCCAGGGCAGCAAGGTGCCTGCTCTGATCACAGCACTCCCAAACACATTCTGTTCTAACCGAAGTCAGAAATAAAGTTCAGCAGCCCTAGAGGCAACCCATGTCCTGGCACCCTGGAAACAAACCTTCAAGGCCAGTCTGGAGAGCACTGGACACACTGCTGGCCACCTTTTGCATGTGCCACAGAGCTCTGCCAGACCCCAGTAAACCTTTACACCAAGCACAAGCTGCTCCAGTTCATGGTTTGTGCTCCTGAGTCACAGCACAGAGCCCCCTCCCGAGGCAGCTGAGCAGACTGGCATGAGCCTTCAGCTGGAGGGAGTTAAGCCCTGTGATTGCCAGGGACACAGGAGGATGCAGATCCAACTCCCACAGGTGCAATGACCCATCACTGCTGGCTCCAAGGGCCCACTGGGAAGCTCTGTCCCACCAAGGAACTGTCCTCCATGCTCAGGTCATGGAGGGGATTTGGGATCTGCTCCCATGAATCCCACCACCTTCCTGAAAAACATGGAAAGACAAGCCATCCCACAGCATGTTCTCGGGGTAAGGGCCACCTGCACCCCTGCCTGCACAAGGAAACAGGACCAGGAAGCACCATGGTAGAAAAAACAACTGCTCCCAGCATGCCAGTCCATCCTTACTCTCTGCAAGGAACACTTAAGGGAATGGCTCCAAAGAGCTGGTGCTTGTCCCAGAGCTGAGTAATACCTCCTTCCTCACTTCCAGTCCCATCATTTGTCCCCTCCACATCCCAAATCTGCACAGTGGCACAGGAACCATCAGTTTCAAAGCAATGTGAAGGTTTTACCTCCATTTAATGAGAAAAATCTCTGCTTGACTGTGATTAGTGAAAAATAAAGGTAAAAATCTGTTGTTCAGGCCAAAAATGCCTTGGCCATGCATATATGCCTAAATTAGAGGCTCTATCCAGCAATATTTCCACCAAGCAATAACTCCCAAGATATTGATTTAGTCACAATTAACAACTGTTTCATTCATGAGTCAGTCATTGACTATGATTAGAAATAATTTAGAATAAATTATGCCACCATTATCTGCCACTTAGAGGACTCCCAGCAATCATTCCATCTGCAGAGAGTACAAACTAACTAAAGCCTGCTGCTCACCTCTCCCCTTCCTGTGCTGCCAGGGCCCCTCAGGCACCTCCCCAGCTCCATGTGGCCAGTGGGCACAGGGGGATACACAGCTCTGCTCCCTGCAGAGCTTCCAACCCGACACCCATGGCCATCCCTCACACAGAGGGCGTTTCTTGGTGGCTGACCCAGAGCCCAAAGCAAGTCTGAGAAAAGGCTCAAAGAGGGGCTACAGAAGCAGGAAATTTGTAAGGAGGACCACCTGGACTTTCCAAGCAGCAGAACTGGAACTAGGTCCTCCTGGAAGGTGCAGATGAGCGGAAGGCAGCACCACAGGCTCAGGCTATACTAGGATAGAGCATCAGGAATGCAGAGCTTTGTGGAACTCCCAGATTCCCACACACAGTTTCTTCTGGTTGCATGATGTGTTACAGTAATATTACATTGTTTGGTTTGCGTGAAGTGGCCTCTTCACCAGGGCTCTGCTGGTACCCAGAACAGCAAGTTGGTTCCCTTTCAGCCCCTTGTGGTATGCCCAGAACCTGCTGTACCCAGGTAGGAGAGCCAGGGTTTCCAAATCTGCAGCTGGGGTTACCCTGCCACGAGCCCCATCTCTGGCAGAGTGATCTGTGCACCAGCTACCCACAACAGGTTACACAGTCATGAGCTGCCCTGTATGTAATACTCAGCATCCTGTGAAAGCACTGCTGGCAGTCAAAGGACCTACAAGAGCCATGAATGCCTCCAGGAGCACAAGCCTCCATGGCCTGGTCTTCCCTGGGTTCCCCTGCTTTGGTCTGGTCCCACAGGTCCTGCTGCAGGGGCAGATCTCTGTGAACTGCCTGAATGGCAGGTCCTTACTGGTGGAACAAAAGTGTTATTAGGAAAATCTGATGGCTGCATCCTTCATCCCAGGACCCTCCTTGGGGCCCAGTGCTGCATTCACATGGGCATCATCCTTCCCTTCCTCGCCTGCACCCCCATCTCCTTCTTTGTCCACATCTATCCCTCTCCTGTAGTCCTCCTTGGGGCCTGGAGGAGCCCTTCCCTCACCTTCCCAGCATGTCCACTTGATCTGCCCATACCCATCTGCTCTGGCTCACCAACCCATGACAAACATCTGCAGAGCCCCAGGCTCAAGGAAGAACACAAGTGACAGCACTGCATGGCTCAGGGATCTGCTGGGGACATGGCACCCAGCTCTTGTCCTGCTGAGCAACCCACATCTCCTCTTGTCCACAACCAGCCCACACCAATGGCACTAAAGGCCAGCCCAGTGGCAGCTGCACAGCCATGGCCCCTCCAGGATCCAGCTGTCAGTGAGCTCTGAAGGAATAGGGCTCTGGAAGACCAAACGACATTGGTGCTCTTGAGACCTGCTCTGCTCCCTGCATATATTCTTCATTAAAAAGAAATCAGAGCTTCTGGCCAACCAGCCTGTTAATTAAAAGGCTGAGGAAATTACCAGAGGCGGCGGTGCTGGCCTGTGCAGTACAAGGGAGACCTCAGGCCTTCCCCCACTGCTGGCTCTGACTGCCAGAACAGCTCCACAGCTGCCAGGAGGGACAAGTCTTCCAGGAGAGGGAGAGGGGATAGGATGTGCTTCACTATCCTCCCAAACCTGAGCCAAGGGGAGGCAGGCCCTCGGTGTGCCCTCATTTGCACACAGTCCCGGGCCAGGTTTTTCTCACTCACATACCCTCTGCCCAGGCCCCAAATCATACAACAGGCCCTCTGCCACACAGCACCTCACTGTCCTGGTGGAACACCTCCCTAACGTCCCTTTTGCCCCAGGACACTCGGCACAAAGGCCAGACCAAGGAGAGGCCAAGACTCTCCAGTCCTCTTATGGATTTGTAGTCTCTCAGGGCCTCATCCACAAAAGAGCACTTGCCTGTCCCATCTCTGCATGGCCAGAGAGCTCATCCTGGCATCCCAACCAGTACATCCAGCCTTCAGACCAAGTGTCCTGCACACCCAGTGCTGCTCTCTCCCAGATGCAGCTCCCTCAAGTCCACAGCCCTGTCCACAGCAGGCACAGGGACAGGGCCACACCACCACCCACCTGCTCTTCTTGGGTCTTGATCTAGGGGCTGGCTCAGAGCCACTCTTCTTGTCTTTAGGCTCCTTCGGGGCTTTGGGTTCCCGAGGCTTCCGGGGCTTCTTAGCCACCTCCCTCTGCTTGGGCTCCTTCGGCTTCTTGCACTCCTTCACCTTTTTAGGCTCTTTTGGTTCTTTAGGTTCTCTCCTCCTCTTTGGTTTCACCTCCACAGCTGCTTTATCTCCCCCTTCCTGCTCTCCCAGATCCTTTTTCTTCCGTTTCTTCTTCACCCCCGTGCCCCCACTGTCCTGCATCCCGTTCTGGGTGCTTGTCCGCTTCTGGGGAGCCCCATTGGGCTCCTCCTTCGGGCACTGGCACTGGCCACCTGTGTTTGTGGCTGTCACTGTCACCTGGTGGGGCACCTCGTCCTGCTCTTCACTGCTGGCAAAGGTGTCCTGAGTCTTGCAGTCCCAGGCAGACGACATTGGGGAGAGGCTCAGTGCTTTTAAGCTTGGTGGCTGTGAAGAGAACGCGAGGCAACAGGTGAAGCAAATGTTGTAAATAGCAGGTGCCCCAGAGAAACCACAGTCCTACAAGGCTCCAATCACCCAGTGCAGCATCCCTCAGCAGTCAGGGACTACGGCTAACAGCCACCATGAGCAGACAGAGGTTAACAGGAAGACACCTCCCCTGCCCCCCTTCTCTGCCCAACTGAGGCCTTTTGGCTCCTGCCCAGCCCATGCAGGTCTGAAGCAGAGGTGGCTGGCCCCAGTGTGTGCCCCATTGTTCCGCCCTCAGTTGAACACTCCAGAGTCCACTTGGCTAAGACAAGAGCAACCTGGGCATCCAGACCACTTCCTGCCTGTTGCTCAGAGCCAGAGATTGTCTCAGCAGGGACAAGGAGAGGGAATTAGGGATGCCTTGCAGCCTACAAACAAAAAGTGGGCTCCCAGATCCATCTGGGGCAGAGCTTGAGGCAGAATAGAAGGGTTAGACCAGCACTGCTCATGGGAGCTTCTGGGTGCTGGGGTTCCCTCCAGGCCAGAAGAGAAGAGAGCTGCTCTTCCTGCTTCAGCACTTCCTTCTTTCCCCATGAACTTTCCAGCACTGAACACCAAAAAGAATTGAGCTGCTCAAACAGCAAGCATGACCAGACAGCAGCACTCAAGGGTGCTGCTCTCTTTAAGCAGCAGCAGGAGTGCCTGTGGTGAGGACCCATGCTCTATGTGCAGCAACCTTGGCTCCAGGAGAGCAGCCCAGGGTGGCAGGGCTGGCAGAGGACAGCCCAAGGAAGGGAGCTGTGGGTGACTATTCTCAAAGCGAACCAGAAACATCCCTTATAGCAGCTGGCAGAGCAAGAAAGAGCAAGGGATGGGCAAAAGAACAGGCAGAAGTGCAGCTGTGTGCTGCAAGGGTGGGGAGAGAAATGTAACAGGTTCCATTTCAGCTGCTCTAGCAGTCAGTTCCCATCCTTAGCACCCCAGCTCCCCTCAATGCATGGCTCAGTTGTGACCAGAGGGAAGCAGTGGCCATTGCTGGGCCTGCTCATCACCCACCACCATCATGCCCTACCATCACCTAGGGTGGCTGGTAGGGCAACCAGCACCAGACCAAACCCAGTGGCACAACTGGGGCTGGAAAGCTGGTTCTGCAACTGGGGGCTGGTGGCTGTGTCATGAGACAAGACATGGGCCCTTCCCACCACTCTGGTGGTGACAGCTCCTTGTAGGGAAGCTGTGGAGCAGTTGGTGAGTGGCCCAGGAAGTGCTGGGCAGCATTTCCTGTGCCTGTGGGGATAGGGGCAGTGTTTGCCCTGCTGCCTTACACACACGGCTGCCCCAGGCCAGGAGTGCTGCTTCCTTCACAAGCCCCTTCCCTGGTGCTGAGGTGGAGGTGCCACTGGCTCTGGCAGCAATGACCTCAGCACCATCCAGGTCCTCAAGACACCTCAGAGCTGTGGGAGAGAATGCAAATTTTTACATCTTACAGGCTGAGGGCTCGAGCCCATCCAGGGTTGTCTGGGCACAACTCTGTAACACTCAGACTTCTGATATGGATTAGATGGAAGCATTAAATGAAACAGACTGCAAGTGGAAAGGCCATGATGCCCCTGCAAACACCCATGAGTGGGGCTGCAGGCTTGGCTGGCATCAGTCAAGCAGACTGCACCAGCATCCCTGCCCACGTGCAGCCACCTCCACCCTTGGCCACTGCTGCCATCTGCACCAGCAGCCTGCGATGGGGGAGCAGCCATCCTGCCACATGGACCAGCTATCACAGGGCACCTAAAGAATTAATGGGAACCTATTCATGACCAGGTGAAAATCAGCACTATTGATGCTGCTTCTGAGACCACTGCCTGTGCAACAGGATCAGTCCCAGCCTTTACATTCTTCAGCTCTTGCAAGGTGGGGATCAGCTTAACAACTTAGAATCATAGAATGGCTTGGGTTGGAAGGGACCTTACATATTTTCTACTTCCAACACCCTGCTGTGTACAGGGACAACTTTTACCAGGCCAGGTTGCTCAGAACCCCATCCAACCTTGAATTGAACACCCCCAGGGATGGGGTAGTCACAGCTTTTCTGGGCAACCCCTTCCAGTGCCTCACTACCCTCACAACAAAGAATTCCTTCTTAATATTATATATAATATATATATACACATATCTGTAATTCCTCCTAATATCTAATCTAAACCTATCCTCCTTCAGTTTGAATAGATTCCTTCTTGTCCTGTCATCACATGCTCTTGTAAAAAGTCCCTCTCCATCTTGTAAGTCCCTTTTAGGTAGTACCCCTGATAAGGACAGTAGAACAGAGCAGCATTTTACTCACTTGATAAGGATAGTAGAACAGAAGAGCATTTACTCTTGTCAAGGACAGTAGAACAAAACAGCACAGCCTTGTAGAAATAGATAAAGGATGTAACTTAGGCAAACAGAAGTCATGCAAAACACAAGCAGGATGCCAGCTCGGCTCTACAAGGCTGACAAAGCAGAAGTTACGGAAAACAACAATATTGCATTTACTCGAAAGCAGGGGTGAGAAACAGCCACCTAAAATGGACACCAGAAGTGTCCAAAGAACCATGCAAGGACTTCTGATAAGATGTGCAACCATGTAAAATAAAGCCAAGGAAGTGGGAAGAGCTAATGAATATGTAATCAGTGTGTATGACAAAATCCCTGTTCACCCAACACTCTTCAAACTGGAAGAAGGATCCCCTCAAGAGACCAGCACACTACAATAAGGAATGCCTGCTTCTAATACTCAAAACTGTGTTACAGTTTCTAGCCAGACAATATTGCTATCACTCCTTTAGGTAAGTCCCCTTTAGGAACTGGAAGGCTGCAATTATGTCACCCCTAAGCCTCCTCTTTTCCAGCCTGATCAAACCAAATTCTCTCATCCTTTCCACATAGCAGAGGTGCTCCATCCCTCTGATCAACTTGGTGGCCTCCTGTGGACTGGCTCCACCAGGTCTGTCTGTGGCGCTGAGGACTCCAGAGCTGGATGCAGCACTGCAGGTGGGGCCTCACCTGAGGGGAGTAGAGGGGCAGTATTGCCTCCCTTGACCTGCTGCCCATTGTTCTTTTGATGTATCCCAGGACATGGTTGGTTTCTGGGTGCCAGCACACATGGTGTGCAGCCTCTCATCCACCAGCACCCCTAAATCCTTCTTATCAGGGCTGTTCTCAATCTGTTCCTGCCCCAGTCTGGATTGATACTGGGACTGATACCCAATCCACACTTCCTTAAAGATCTGCCAGCTCTGTCCCACTCCCTTGTCCCAGAGGGCAGTCTCCCAGGGAATCCCACTGACTATCTCCCAGAAGAGCTGGAAGTCTGTTTCTCTAACACTCAGTGTCAGCACCTTGGCCTGGAATCCCCATGGGCATCAGGTGTCACAGCCTGCCATGTCCCAGGAGCAGTACTGGTCCCAGTCAGCAGCAACTGCCTCCATCTGGAGCAACCAGGAGCTTCTGGTGCAGGCCCTGCCATGAACGGGCCATCAAATGCCAGCCTGTGGGATCCAGGTGCACAGCCAGGCAGCACATGGACAGAGGCAGGGAGACCAGGATGCTTCCCCACCAAGTGCTGCCAGCCCAGAAACCATACTCCCAAAGCTGCTTGCTCTGTCTTGAGGGGAAAATGCTTTGTGTTACGTTCCTGAAGCCCACAGCAAGCTCTGGCCATGCATGTAGGACTGTGCTGCCAAGTACAGTCTGCAGTGAGAGTCTGGCGCACTGGCACGAGCCAGGGAATGGGTTTTTTCTACTACCCCTTGATGAGGTTCAGTTTATCCTGGCTTCTCGTCAACAGGAAAACCTAAGAAAGCAGTGCCAGCTTGTGCTCCTGCGTGGCTCCAAAGCACCCTCACTGCTCTGCCCGTGGCAGCCCAGGTGGTTCCTTGTGGCAGGCAGGAGCTCACCGTCCCCACGCAGCTGTTGCTAGAACATCAGCCACTGTGCCACAAGGGAAATTGCCTCTGCTTCCAAAGGGTGAGAGCCTGAAGAGCAGGTGTCACACTGATGGCATACAGCACTCACTGCAGGGAGCTCTGATGGAGCAGCAACCTCAGCCTGAGTGGCCTGAGATACAGGTGTCCATGAGCCAACAGGCTGCCCATGGCTGTGACTGGGCTACCAGCCGCTGTGTGTGTAGCCACAGCCAGCACTGACACACCACCACATTCAGACCCCTTTCACAGGGGAGAAACACATGCAGGAGCCTAAATCCGGCAATCATAGCCCTGGGACACACTGCAGCAGGGCAAGGCAGGCTGCTCTAGACCAGCCAGGAGCTGCTCTAGGCAATGCTGACCCTGAGGGGCCGGAGTGGGGCAGGGCAGGCAGTGCCTCTGTACCCATCTGCCCAGGCTGGCCCAGTAACAGACTGTACCCACTTCACAATGAACCCACCTGTAACCCTGGGTGCCAAAGCACCCAGGGGCATTCAGTACTACAAACTCATAAGGTATTGGGGAAAACCACTAATTCTGGTTAAATCCTGCCACCCTCCTAAGTGGCTTCTACTCAAGGTGTGAGGGGTCTCCTTGTCACACGCTCTGTACAATTTAGTTTTGCCATCCTCCCCCTGCAGAGCTCTCTTGGCCCAGCTAAGACATAGGTGACAAGTCACCCTCTCCTTGCAGGTGGGCTGCACCAGCTCTCAGACCCCCTGCCTTATCCTGCTCAGCACTTCTTCCAACCCCACTGGCTATGGGGTGGCAGGAGGAAGCCACGTAGCATCAGAGGTATCACGTAGTAGGAGGGTTTCTGCTCTGCTCCTTTTCCCTTTACAAACGATGGAATGCATCTTGGGACAACGTGTAGGGAGATGCCAAACTCTGGCAGTGTCCTCCAGGAGCAGGGACAGCCCCCAGTGACGACACATGCATAGCTGGTTCTCCCATACTTTACCGGGTACATCTTGAGACTTCCCTCAACTTTTCAGCCTCCATGTCCATGTCAGCATCTCAGATGACTGCAGAAATCAGCACCTTTCTTCCCCA